TAGCACCAGCAGCAGTTGTAATAGCAGTAATAGCAGCTGCAGTAGTGGCAGTAGTAGAAGTAGTAGTAGTAGTAGTAGTAGTAGTAGTAGTAGTAGTAGTAGTTGAAGTAGCAGTAGCAGTGGTAGTAGTTGAAGTTGAAGTAGTTTAACGAGTAGTAGTAGTAGTTGAAGTAGTAGTAGCAGTAGTTGAAGTTGTAGTAGTTGAAGTAGTAGTAGTTGTAGCACCAGCAGCAGTTGTAATAGCAGTAATAGCAGCTGCAGTAGTGGCAGTAGTAGAAGTAGTAGTAGTAGTAGCAGTAGCAGTAGCAGAAGTAGTAGTAGTAATAGTAGTAGTAGTCGTAGTAGTAGTAGTGGTAGTGGTAGTGGTAGTAATAGCAATAGTAGTGGTAGTGGTAGTAGTAGTAGTAGAAGCAGTAGTGGTGGCAGTAGTAGCAGAAAAAGCAGTAGCAGCAGCAGCGGGTGTAACAGGTTTAAGGGATTTAACGCCGCTTTTAACAGTATTCCAGTTATAGTAGTAGTAGTAGTAGAAGTTTAGGAAGTAGTAGTGGTTGAAGTAGTAATAATAGTAGTAGTAGTTAAAGTAGTAGTAGTAGTAGTAGTAGTAGTAGTAGTAGTAGTTGCAGTAGTAGTAGTAGCAGTAGTGGTGGCAGTAGTAGCAGAAAAAGCAGTAGCAGCAGCGGGTGTAACAGGTTTAAGGGATTTAACGCCGCTTTTAACAGTATTCCAGTTATATCATTGCGTTTAAGCTTAATGTGGGAGGAAAGCCCGAAGTCATGCAGGTCTCAGACGTTTACCACTTCCGTGAAACCCACGAGCACCGGTATGGTGCTGACAAACCTAGAAACATAATCGGGGCGAACAGGGATTCGAACCCACAATTATAGGTTTCTGCCGTGCCCAAGGCACGCAACTCTGCACAGCCTAACGCGGCGCCTTAGACGACTGGGCCTCCCAGCAGCAGCACTAGCACTAGCAGTAGCGTCAGTAAAAGCTTTATTTCATTCCATAGTTGATTTTTGGTTGAACAATCTCCCAGGATGCTATCACTCCACAAAACCTATTTGTTTGAATGTTTATTTGTTGTTTTACACCGCACTCGGCAATAGTCCATCTATATGACGTCGATCTATAAATAATCGAATCTGGACCAGACAATCCAGTGATTGACATCATGAGCTTCGATCCACGCAATTGGGATATGATGACATGCATCAACCAAGTCAGCGAGCCTGACCACCAATCCTGTTAGTCGCCTATCACGACAAGCATAGTCGCATTTTACGGCAAGCATGGGTTGCTGAAGACCTATTCCACTCCGGATCTTCATGGGTCTATTCCCGTGTCTCTGATGTTCAATACCTTAACGCATGATATCTATAAAAGACACATAGCTCCATGAAGCATCTGGTAACTCCTTTTACCCACAGATGAGGAACAACCTCTAAATATTGCACGTCTTATTTTCCAGCCTGCAGTGGACGGAAGCTAGACATCCTCATCATGGATGATATGTCCCTCTCCATCGGCCAAACCAACTTTGACGAAATGAAAAGATTTCAAGAGAGGATGCTAAGTCACACCGTCATAAACAGTGGTGCCGATAACGTTGCACTATTGGTGTTTGCTGCAAAAGCTACAGTGGTGTTGCCATTGAATCATGACAAAAGCAAGGCGGGAGTTATGAGAGCTCTCAGGGAGCAGGTGTACGAAGAAGGTCCTTCTACAAGCATTGGCGATGCCATCAGTCTGGCTACAGCTGAAGTTTTCAAACCACAAAATGGCGACCGCGCGGATGCTGACAACATCGTCTTCATGTTTACTGATGGGTTGGTCACAGATGGGGATCGGGTGGCCATACTTGCTAACAGTGTTACTCTGAAGGTTGTAGCTGAAGTATATGTCGTTGTCACCTCGGAGGTAACTGACACTTCCACACTCAACGCGATTGCTTCGAAACCCTCCAACATCTTCCAACTTGGCTCCCCCACTGCTGTCAGTGCCATTCAACGAATCATGATGCCTTGTTCCAATCATTAAGAGTCTTGCATTTGCGACCGGATCAGACATGGCATCAATAGATGAAATAGCTGTACTGTTATTTCGTAATCAATAAATAGTCTGCTTGTGATACGTGTTTGTTGTTTCCAGCATCAAAAAAGATTATTGACTTTGTGTCTCTCCGTATTGTAAATATCATGTATTATGGATAAAACAAATATTATGAGAGCCTTTGTCACAATGCATTATAGAACAATTGTCTAACGATGTGATGGTTTATTTCAACAAAAGGTATTTTGGAGTGATTTTTTTTATGAATATCATTGACGATCACCAAAGTAAGACATTCGTGACCAACTCGTGTTATTCCGGGACAAGCCGAATAGAGACTCGTGCCCCTCCCATGGCCATTTTTGTGACCGGGTTCCGTCTTAGCGCAAACGGGCATACCCAAAACAATTGTCAACTCGTTGCCTAATGGTTAACATATATTTCCCCATATATTATATATATTTCAGATGCAATTTAAAGCACATCGGGACATACGGAATTATACAGTATGATTGAACACATGTAACTGTGTCATGGGTATATTTTTAGATGCAAGACATATGTAAAATGAAAAATGATTTCTGAGGGATTCTTTGACGAAGAACTTGAAATCATGCGCGCATTCTGATTGGTTTGTCGTATTTTCGCACATAACGTTCATCGATAGGGGGACGAGTCTTCTTGCAGGTTACGGAAAGGGGCGAGTGGTGACGAATGCAAAGTAAGATTTAGGTTCATGTTGCTCAGGGGAGATAACTCGGAGGTTATAGTTGGTTTTTAGAACGGAAGCGTAGATCGTTTTATACAATAATTTGATTGTGTCTTGTTTAACGCCGCACTCAGCAATATTCCAGGTGTATGACGGCGGTCTGTAAATAATCGCGTTTCGACCAGATATTCCAGTGATTGACGTAATGACCAGCTGTCAAAGCAATTTGGATACAAAGACATGTTTTATAATAGATTATGTTATCAGAATTTTCTTCATATAAACTTACTATTCGATGACATGATATTGGTTGTCTGATGTGTATGTATGTAGATTAGAGGTAGAAGCGAATGTCGGTTGTCTAGGGCTGTGGTTGAAGCGAATGTTGGTTGTCTAATGTGTATACAGTAAACTACGGTTATAACGAACCCAAAGGGACCACAAATTTCAGGGCTGAAACAATGCCGATGCGACGTTAAATTTTAACTCACTAATTTTAGTTCTTTATATCCGTCGTTCGTTATACGCATTTCCACCGTCAGAGATCTTTTATCAAGTACGTCATGTGACAACTTGTTACTCAATAAATAACAAAAGTGTGCTCTGTTAATGTACAGAATATATCCACTTCAATCACTGTGTTACTATTGTTAACTGAGGGTGTAAATGGAGGACAAGGTGTCAGCACTTAAAAGTAAATACTTGCCTCCACTTGTTTATTGACGCTTTGAACAGCCACGCCTGGCCGCGGATGTTTTGATGGTGTCGGGCCGGGAAGTCGAAAATCTATTTACCAGTAGTACCGGAAATGCGAATGGAGGGGTAAGGGACTGGGGAATGAAAAGATCAGTGATGTGTACCCTCGTTATGTATACAACGGACACTTATACATTGAGGACACTGGGGTGTTGTGAGACGGAAAAGTGAAGAAAGAGATCAAAAAAATTGAATTTAGAGAATGTGATTACTAACTTCCATTGAACTCGTGAGACGGAAAAATAAAGAAAGAGATAATCTACGAGGTGAGTTCGCTATATCCGTTATTTTGTTATGAGCGTGTTCGTTATATCCATCAAATTCATTTGATTAAATATATGGCAAAAGGCCGGTACCCAAAGAACAGCTCGTTATATCCGTAAGTTCATTATAAGTGTGTTCGTTATAAACGTAGTTTACTGTATATGTAGAGCTGTGTTTGGAGAGAATGCTGGTTGTCTCATGTGTATGTAAGAACAATGGTTGATGCGTTAGTTAGTTGTCCAGTGAGTTACATCGACAAACATATATAGAAGGCATGTTTAAGCAGAGACCATGAAATAAACGGTTCAAGTAACAAAATAATTGCAAGATATAAAAATTTTGCATTAGATCTAGCAAATAACAAGAAAAGAAATGCTTCACCTGACATACAAGATGTTCCGGAACTGTTTATGTTTTGTATCAGTGACCCAACAAAATCCCGCCCGTAACAAAAATCCAACGTTCCAACGAAAACAGTTAACTCTCTTGCCTCGGGAAGATGGTTCTAACACCGTTATCACGCAAGTGTCAGAACCTACACCGATACGTCCTCCTAATTGTAATACACAAGTTGTTCATCCATATATCCTCACTTAGTACTGCGACTTCTAATTTTTTCTCAAAAAGGTTATCAGTGTACACAGCTTGTACAAGTAAATTGGACTGGTTTTTTTCACATAGAATACATGACCATGTGTGCTCATAAGCTTAGGGCAAAATAACATTTTTTGATGGGTCTCTCTTCTCAAGGAAAATACATTTCAACATTAAAATATGACATCCGCGTACCAGATTAATATTTCATGGCATCCAGCGTGATGCACGGGTGCAGGCTAAAACGGCACCTCAGCAAAACGTCAACGATTTCTCTGGCGAAAACGGCACAGCATCTGGCGAAAACGGCTTCTCTGCGGCAGTGCGGAATACCTCTCAACAGATCCGCTTCCAGTCTACCAAAATGGTAGCCCCTTATGTGTATTGAAAGTCCATAAACAGTACAATGTGGCCTCACCAGGTTCTGGGTTGGTCCAGTGGTTTTAGGCGCTGCAGTTTGTTAGTTGAATTTCCTCCCATAATCATGCCAGGATCCGCTGATCGGGTGTTCGAATCGCAGTTCCACCCTGATTATAATCTTTGGTTTGTCAGCTCCCTTCCCCTGGGTTTCATCTAAGCGTTAAGCATGCGAACATCTATACGATACTAGTGGTTTTATAGTAGATCGATTGGTATACATCACCATTTAGTTGTATGCTTTCAACAAATACAATATAACTTGTACACGCAAAATGCAACGCTAATAATATCATCAATCTTGTATGAAATGAGACGTGATGTTATTTCACAAATGTTACATGGACGTATCTACATCCGTTTAGATTTTGTTTGGTCACATCCGGTTGAAGTACCGCAGTATTTTCCGTCTTTTAGCAAATTGGTTAACTCTGATTGACACCGCTAGGTGGCGCATTTTCAAAATGACGGCAGGTGATTCCCCAAAGATATTTTTAACCGTATGATAGTCAACTTCGAGAACGTTTGAAATGTCAGTAGGATTCATATAGAGGTAAGAAACAGAAACGGGTTGATGTTTTCGTGTGTTCATTGACTCGTTAGAAATAGGCAGAAGTTTGTTACGCGTTACGCTACCCTAAACAGCTGTGAACTTGAGGATAGATATAAGTATTTTTTAAAGTCGATATAGGTATATTTTCAGTTTCATTTGGTCCACTTGCCAATGAAAAAATGAAAACCCAAACCAGCTAGAGCCAAACGGAGAGAATAGTTTTTGAAAACTTTAAACACATCTCACAAGTAGATAGAATTCGTTAGCCAAGCAGCTTCCCCAGCATGTCTCCTTGCAAAGGGTTTCACTCTCCGTCTCACATCCTATTTCCAATCCCGAGACATTGTCCGCCCCTTGGTCTTTGAGGAGGGTAGTCAACTGCTTGAAAGATAAATATAACATTACGGCTTGCCCAAACTTTGTGTTTCAAACATTGACTGCACCATTTTATCATGTAAGTGGTTACACTTTCTCTTACAAACAAGAAGAAGAATACTGTACAGGTTGAAGTTTCGAAATTATAGTCCATACGAGCTGACCAGAAACAAACATAAAAAAACTGTATGTATGGCCTTCCTCAATATTCTGCGTCAAGGGATAACATTAATTGTTTCATTTTTGAAAATATCCAAGGGAGTCACTCCATGCCCGACAATGTTAACAGGAAAATACATTACCGCGTATGATAAGCCGAAGACTGTTCAACATTTTTCAATATTAATAAAAACATTACACATTGTTCACTACATACACACCTTTGTATATTTTGACAATAGTAATGTCTTGCTTAAAATCAGACGCTTTGGATTGTTGTTCAAGGAAACATTCCTCATCAGTATAGCTTTCTTTCTAAGGCTGTACATTCCAGGTAGGCCTATATATGATTGTAGTGAGCAGTACAGCACGATACAGACAGACAGCTAATTTATATGAGTCTCACCTCATTTATACATAAGAACATAAGAATACACTAGCATCCTATAATTATAATAATAACTACAGATTTATAAAGCGCTGGTATCCAGTTCGGAGAACTGCTCAAAAGCACTTCATTTGAGACTACACACAAAAAAAAGAGACATACACAGCTAGGAAAACACAAAGCCTCAATACTCTAAGAAAGATTTGGTGAAAAGATAGGTTTTGAGTCTTGATCGGAACAAAGTAGGACTGTCAATGTTCCTAATATCCAATGGCAGCCTATTCCATAGCTCAGGGGCAACTTTGGCGAAACTCTGACCTCCAAAAGTCGCCGTTCTAACCCTAGAGAGTAGGGCACAGAGAGTAGGGACTGGCAGCTTGATCTGAGAGATCTACCAGGCACGTACTCTTCAAGAAGCTCGCTGAGATAAGTTGGTTTTTGATTGTGTCTCGCATTGAACACAATCAGCATCACTTTATACTGGATTCTCTCATTGATTTTGAGCCAGTGGAGGTTCCGTAGAATCGGTGTGATATGGTCAAACCTTTTGGATTTAGTAACAAGCCTGACAGCACAGTTTTGAACTCTTTGAAGTTTAGTCAAAAGGTTATGAGGAAGGCCGATGAGTAGTCCATTACAGAAATCAAGATGTGATAGAACACATGCGTGAACTAGAGAAGCAGCTGTTTTTGCATTTATACACTGGCGAATCTGTCCAATATTCCTGATATTCAGATATGCTCGCTTGCAGATGTTATCCACGTGAGAAGCCATAGATAGTGATGAGTTGAAAATCACACCCAGGTTACGAACTTCTTTGCCTGGAACGATCATATTGCCTCCGATGTCCTAAGACCTTGGGGGGCGCCATATGCAAGCTTCACTTATGCATGAGTCCCTCTGAGAGACTTGCATACACATGTTAACATGGTTAAAAGATTTACAAGGGTAACATACATGAAAAATAAGTAAATAAATGAAAAGGTATTACTTATATAGTAGAGGCCTCAGCTGATGAGAATATTATTAGAGGTTTTTGCACATTAAACATTAGGTGATTATTGGTAAAAATTGCTGAAAGCTTGTCAATACCTGACCATGTATAAAAAATATCAATTGGTGGCACTGGCTTTTGGTATAGCTCATATGTGAGGTCGTCCTATACATCACACTGTAGCAATACAAGCGGCTCAACATCAATGCTGGAGTTCATACACAGAGGGCACACGTTTCTCCAAAGAAACCTTCACTGTGCAGAGTTGTGTCCCTTTGTCACATCAGAAACCTATAATTGTGGGTGTGAATCCTGGTTAATCCTGATTATGTTTCTAGGTTATTTTAGAATAAAAAACTTGTTAACGAAAAAACAACAAGATAAAATACTTTTTTAAATAAAGGGATGGCTATTCTATGTGATAGTTTAAAAGCAGGCATATCCTCTATCATCAAGTCGTTGTGTTCCGCCATGCTTAAAAGTTGCACGATGTTGCTTCTGCCTTTACGGGAGGCAACTCTATCAGTTTCTATTCTATTTATGGCATCTCACGATCAAACAATTCAAGTATTGTCTGTCCCTTGGTATCGATGATGTGGTAGGTATCAGTGAATCGTCACAGCCCTAATTATTGGGTCATTTTGTTTTTGTGTTTTCTAGAAATGGAAGAAGACAGCAGTCTGTTGCTGGGGCATGTGACACATGTCATTGACCCTTCCAACTTTTGGATCCAGATTGGAACGGGTAAGACATGCTTCTTCCCTAAGATCATGTTCCAAAGATGAAATTCTCATCTCAACAACGCTGGCAGTAACAACGGAAAAGATCCTTCAAACGTGCAGCATATTTATTATGGAATGATCTACCATTGAACATAAAACAATTATTATTTACAGGTCAAGTGACCTTTGTCAGCAGGTCCGTGAAATAAAACTGCTGTTATGTTTTGTTGGAATTTGACAAATCTCACAAAAAAGTTTGTATCATGGTATTGACACCATCATGGTATTTGATGCATTTATCATGCATTTAGTTTGTAACTTCTTAGGATGGGGCGATGCTTTGAAAGTTATCAAACCCTGAAAGGTCAAGGTCAGCCTTCGGGTTTGTAAAACATGTTTTTTTGGTCATTTTCTGAGGCATGCTTACCTGTACAGTTTCTTTACAAATCCTAAGACATCTTTCAACTCTATTCATGTCTAAGGTCAAGGTCATCTTTTAGGATGTTCAGCTACATATATTTTTCTTGAATATTTTTGGCATTACGCCTTACATGTGCTTCAGCGTGGAGCAGGACCGAAGTCGACCTGGGAAGATCCGGGTTAGAATAGGTTGAATAGTCCCCTTTTACCACGAGTATGGGTTGCTGACGACCTATTATACCCCGGATCTTCACAGGTCTCTAAACTTGGCAGGGGGGGGGCGGGGTAACTTTAGCAGTTTAATGTTTTTGCTATAGTTTTGTAATCTTGAGACCGCCTAACATGCTGAATGTGCTACATTTTAAACCTATAACATTAGGGTTATCACAAGGACCCCTTTACTTCAAGCTTAAGTCGGAAACCTGAAAATCATCAGATAGAATGGTTATGTTCAGCATGGTCAGGAGGTGGCATTCTCTACTGTTGCCATGGTTATATTGTGTTTGCAGAGTAGCTGTTTGAGGGCTTGAGCATGCTTCTTTCAGGAAGTAGTGTTTTTTTACTGTTGCCATGGTTTCATAGCTTTTACAGTGGTGTTTGAGGGCTTCTGTCGGGAAGTGTCATTTTTACTGTTGCCGTGGTTACATTGTGTTTACAGAGCAGCTGTTTGAGGGCTTGAAGCAGCTGGAGGAGGAAGTGCAGGGGTTCTGTGACGGGGTGGGGATGCTGGATCCCGATGATGCCAACTGGATGGAGGATGGCTGCTACGTTGTGGTCAAGTCTAGCATCAGCAGCCATAGTTCCTGGAGGAGGGCGCAGATAGCCCGACACAACATGTAACTAGCGGACTTCTTGTCCACATCATCCTTGTGCTTTTAACCTTTAGCCTGCTGAATTATTTTCACACTTCTTACCCCTGCCTGCTGGATTAATTTTAGCATAAGGCGCTCTAAAGAGGGTGGGTGATTTCAAACAGTCGGTGCCTCATTAAACAAGGGGCAATTGAAGAAATATTTTGCACATTTATTCCTGATAGAAAACTACACAGTACTATATAAAAATATCCTGATGTTTTCAATCATACCAATGTTAAGACCAAAGCGAACACAAAATTTGTAAATTTTCTTGAACTTACCTGAATTGCGTTATTGAAGGTGGTTTGCATTTCATGCTAGGAACCTTTTAATATCGTAACATTTGTGCAAATTGATTTCAATAATCATATCTCCGATATCTTAATTTTAATTGAGTAAAAATTCGGGGTTTTTTTATCAGCAAATAACAGCGCGATGGTAAATTAGAACCATTTCAGTGAATTTATTATCTAAACGTTAAACATAAAAATAACTTAATTTTCGAGGTCATCATGTCGGTTGCAGAAATACGAATATTCGGGTTAATCTGACGTGTCATGTTATAAAATTTGCAGGAAACAATTAATGACTTATAAATATTCACTAATCCTAATTTCAAGCGTTTTGGTTGAATATTTACGATATACAAAAATAAACAACCCGTGTCATGATGCTAGCAGACGTCCTAAAATCAAACATGGCGCGCTTCGCTCGACCTCCGCATAACTTATTGCTATTTTAACATCAACAAAGTTTACATTGCCTTTAAAAATATAACTTGGCGAAAGTTGACGATCTTCTCAATCGAAGAATGTTTTATTCGTCATATTCCAATAAATATGACGAGAGAAAAATGAAAATAAAGATCGTGAATTCTGACAGCACTATTTCAATAAGTGCATAGGTCACCGGATGTGATGTCACAGACAGGGGTAGTCTGCTGATAAGCTTTCGAAACAAAACAATTACAGTAAATTTTGAAATAGTTCGCCAATCACATACAGCAAAAACATAAGTCGATACACAGTATCAGTAATCGCCACTAACATGAAATAAAAATGTGACTTTGACGATATAATTCGCGTATTAGTTAATCCGTTTGACCTTGCATACTCCCGTGACCCGGAAACGGTAGACGATAAATCAACATGCCACATGCAAGTTTCTCGGTATCTTTTATTTGAACTTCTGTTGATATTTAAGAATCACCATTCAATGTTGTGAATATAAATGGGACATGATTCATATTTCTGCGATGTAAACGCTGATAAGTTTCACTACAACAAGTGTATCCCACGTAATACGTCTATGGATATCGTCGATCAGCAAGATCACCCTCTTCAACAGGTGCGCGAAAATGGGCTTGACAAAACGTGTTTCAAAATAACATCCCCGCGTTGCTGAATATGATAGGGTATATATAAGCAATAAAATGCTACGTACATATTTTCGGTGTTAGTTCCACATTACATTTAGGATAGCTTTCCTTTCGGGAATACATTCATAGATTCTAGCATGATTTTAGAACAGTTACACGAAGGATTTCTAAATTTATTCCAAAAATATGAAGACCACCATGATGGCGTATTGATGATAGATTTGTAATTGTTTAATTATTTACAGCTGTTTACAGGTTTTAAAATTTTAAGTTATATTTAATAGTTATTTTTCCCACAATGATGGTGTGTGGGGACAGTAAATATTAGTCTTTGCATCAGCACAGTGTAACTGATCAAACTTCAATTATTATCTTTAGTTTAAACATATTTATTCAACAATTATTATCTTGCACTCTGAAAATCAACTATGTGAATAAGTAACTCTCTGATGTCATCATTTTAATTTTAGTATTCCATGAATAATGAATAAATCAGATCCTTAACATATACATACTAAACTCATATGGACATTAATCTTGTGCATTATGTGGTTTGTTTCCAAGTAAAACAATTCTAAAATAAAATTTAATAGGAATTAATTTAATTTAATTACAGTAACAGTACTTGTAACAGTACATGACATTTTTGTTTGTTTAATCACAAGAACCATGGTGGCACATGAGCTGGTAAGTTTGCCACAGGTTTCTTAGAAAATGCTATCTCAGTCTTCTGGTTGGAATGAAAAGAAACATGCCTGTGTACATGTTTACCCTTGCCAGATGTATTTTTTCCAGTCAGCCAATCCATTACTTTTGTTCATCTTATGTGGTCTATTTTATACATACAGGTACTGCTTCCAACCTGTTTTTTCTTTGTATGCAATCACAGTATCACAACTTCCTCAGCTGGTGTGTATAAAAGTTCCCCTGTCATCATGAAAAAAGAATTATAAAGGAAAGTCATATTTTCATTCAAAAACATATCTGTCTTTCCTTGAATAGTCTTTGTCTAAGTGCCAGAAATGTCAGTGTCATAAAAAAAATAAAAACAGATTTTCATAAGGACTTTTCTTAGGTAGACCTAGATCTAAGTCAAACCATGTGACAAGTTAGGTAGAATTATAACCTTATAAGCCCTCATTTCTGAGGTGTCCATATTTTAAACATTTTTAGGACTAAACGTGATCTGTGTAGATCTGCCTGTTTTGTTATGTAAAACAAATTCTTGTCTTAAAAAATGAGAAAAGGAATCATTCAGACGAAATTTTTTTATCCCATTGATTCACGAAAATCAGTTGAAATGTACAGTGGTGACTTTTGTACCCAAAATTTCTAGTAATTTGTTACCCAAATGGGTATGTGATTTTGTAGATCAACCTAGAATTATTTCAAAGATATACATTAATTTGGTGTCTTAAACTTAACATATCACTTTCCTATCAAAACAATTCATTCTAACTTAGGTTTAACCAACTTAACTGGCCTCTCCTTCAGTGACAAGACGTCAATTTTCTCTCAAAACCAAACAATCAATTTCAAGGATCACAGTCATAATCATATTTGGAACTTGATGAAATATTTTATTGTGTGTTCTGTTCATCTACATGAAAACATAAATATAATTATAGATCTATTTTCTTATTTTCTTAGGTACAAATTCACAAAGTATTTTGGGTACAATTTAATTTGTTTTGGGTACAAAATCACATATATAGGAGCCTAGAATCTATATATATTTACACTAGCCTACCTCGTTGTGTACCAAAATTTTATCGGTTCAGAGGACGGGAGGTTCTCAGAAAGTTTTCAACAACATCTTTAATATTTAAATTGTTCTTTTTGTAATGTTAGACCTATAACAATATTATGTTATTATTATGGCATATCAATACGTTGTATCGCTCTCCGTTGCGTTCGTTTTTAGAAAATATTTTAAAATTAATATCATCGAGCGTGAAATCCATTACGGTTTCGGATTTAGACTTGCACATTTGATGGCGACAATCACGAAGAAATATGAAACAAATAGGAGTAAAGACTGCTCTCCAGATCAATAAATAGTAAAGAGTTGACGAAAAATAGTAAATTATGTATTTTCTTTTGAATTTGAATCTATTTCGGAATTTCTTTATGATAGCTTACCAACTTTTGCATATTTTGCTTCCATGTGTCACATGCGGTACGTGCTTCCGGTTTCAGAAATCATAGCTAAAATTGCAAGTATTTTGATTATTTCTCATAAAATGCATTATTTTGCTATTGAATGGTTTACCTAGAATGTATATCAGTTCAGATTTTGCGTATCATCCAATATTTGTCATTTTTCGCAGTGTTTGTTGACTTTGTTCAACTCAACAAATCGCGAGTTAGGCCACGCCCAAACGTATCACTGACGTTTGTCAGCTGTTTTTCGGCTTGTCAATGTGTCGGAAAGTTTATCAAACGAAATCATTTCCAAACTCTTTAAAAATGAAATTCTTTTTACAAAGATTTATACATACGTGTCAATAATTCTAGAAAATTAAGTTAGATGTAACAAAATGATTGTAATAGTCTAACGGGATAACTATGCATGTGGAGTTGTTTGTTTACCGCCGTTGCCATGATAGTACAAGTTTCATCCAATCGATGATGTTACGATTCAGATTGTTTTTGTTTACAATTAGTTACACCGAAAGTTGCTAATTTTTAGAAATTAAGGAACATAAGTGTTTTCCTTTCGCCAGCAAACAAAAAATTATGATCGAATAGGAAAAATGATGAAATTATAAAGAAAATATCGGACTGCATGCCGCTCAACGTGAAGTGCCAAAAGTCAACAATGGCCGTTTCTGGTAGTTGTGTGCCGAGAAGTTTGGCCGAAACATTTTTAACTCGCGATATTTTCTTTTTGAGGTAAATAAATGACTGAACGTTTTGATATTGAGCAAGCTGAGGATTTATGCATGTCATACGTAATTTAAATGTTACGCAAAGCCTTCTTGGTAAATAGATATGGCGAGTTTTATTTTGGGGTGTTGTTATGCTATTCGCCTGTCGAATGGGTTCGACATCAGATGCACGGGGATGGACACCTCTGTCGAATGGGTTCGACGTTAGCGTGCAGAGCTTTAAGTAGCGTAGAGAGATTTGTGCTTTCTGCTCAAAATGTACACTCACCGCCAAAAGAAACGTAAACCATAGACATGATAGAAACATATAGAGAAGTATGTATGTTAGACGTACAAGAGGTGAGGTGAGGTGAGGTGAAATGGGGTTTAACGTCGCGTCCAAGATTATTGCACTTATATAGCGACTTGTATGTATGTGTGTGTTTGTGTGTGTGTGTGTGTGGCTGCTTGTACTAGTCCGGACTGATGCCGATTTATAGTGCTAGCTCACTGAGATACCATGCCGCAGTTTAACATGAATACCCCACTCAGACACAGTATATTGACTCCGAGCCGACCAGTCCTTGTTTTAGCCCCTTAATGTCGAGCGCCAGACAGGGCAACAATAGGTACCATCTTTTAAGGTCTTTTGGTATGACGCGGCTGGGGATCGAACCCCGGACCTTCCGCTCTCCGGGTGGACGCTCTACCATAGATGTACAAGAGTTGTTAACAATGTGTATCACTTAGACAAAACTAAGAATCACAGTGTCTTTATTTTTATCACAATATGCTGCACATGATTTCCAAACTTTTTGACCTAATCCTGAACAAGACAAATGAGTCATCTTGATTCATGGATCTATGACATCGCGTGATGTGTTCATGAGCATTGGTTCTCATCATAGCAGTGTGTTTGTTTGTGCATCGAACCATCTTTTGTTTCTTGAATATGAGTAATTCTTCATATATTAACCAGGGGGCACGGGTGGCCCAGTCGTCGAAAGTGCCGCAATTTGCTGTGCAGTTACGTCCCTAGGACACACCAGAAACCTATGATTGTGGGTACGAATCCAGGTTCGCCACGATTATGTTTCTAGGTTTGTCAGCACCATACCTGTGCTAGTCGGTTTCACCGAAGTGGTAAACGTCTGAGACCTGCACCACTTCGGGCTTTCCTCCCACATTAACATGATTAAGCTGACATGCCGTGATATAACTGGAATACAGTCAAGTCCCGTTATTCCGACATCGATGGTTGCTTAGGATTATGTCGGATTAACGAGTATGTCGGATAAACGAAATTTAGTAGTATCAACGTTCAGGATCGAAAATCGGACAACTACACGATAGATAAGGATTCAAATACGTAATAAAAAAATATAAAATAAATATAAATAAGATTGAGGTAATCTAAGCATGTGATTTATCCTGTTTTCTTTATTTAAAGCATTAATTGTTTATTGTTAACCTAGTTTATCTCTGCAGCCGTTGTAATATGCAGCTACTCGCCAACTCGTCTCGCATCAAAACACGGGGCTGTGTACTCGGGTGCAGATGACCCCGGAGTACGCTGATCACTGTGTCGGATTAACGAGACTGATTATAATGAGTGATTTCGGTTATTCGTTGCAAATTAGGTGTGTCAGAGTTGGAGTGCGAGAATGTCGGATTAACGGGTCGAAATAGCACTGATTTAACTGATCGTCGGATAAACGAGTGTCGGATTAACGGAATTTGACTGTACTCTTAAAAGCGGTGTTAAACCTCACTCACTCGCTCACTCACTTACATTTCTTTTGGCGGTGAGTATATTACCCCACATGCTTTGAATGTCGTAAAAACTGGAGGTCCACAACTTTGTAGGTATCATTTTTTCAAAATGACTTCCATTGATGACTGAGGAAGAAGTATTTTCATATTAATCTTACCAAATCCATCAAATCAGCTGTTTCAGTCAGCGATTGTGATTTAAAACCTATGATTGACCAATTTGGATTTTCCGCCTACAGTATGCTACAGATCGCGATTAAAACTTTGATACCTTTCAGCGTCAATTTGTTCCACTTCATGCTCATTCCCTTATTCTCAAGGCTGACAATGCAGTACAGCAGGGAAACACACTCATTTTTGGAGTTTCCAAAGCTAATATATCCCACTACCCTGAAGGAAACTTTTACCTTTGGAGAAATTACTTTGCTCATGGCTATTCTCATGATTATTTTCTCTGAATTTATTATATCAGAATGACAGTATTTTGCCATAACTTAACACTGCAGCAATACCAGCATCACAGCCTGTGCCATAAACTTTTGAGTCCAAACTTGACACTCACTATCTATAGATTTTAGTACTGAGTGAATGAGTTGGGTTTAACGCCGCTTTTAACATTATTCCAATTATATCATGGCATGTCAGCTTAATGACTGGTGAAACCTATGAGCACGGGTATAGTGCTAACAAACCTAGAAACATAATCAGGGTGTAACGAGATTTGAACCCACAATCATAGGTTTCTGGCGTGCCCAAGGGACGCAACTCTGCGCAGCGAATCGTGGCACATTAGACGACTGGGCCACTTTAGTACTGAGCTGAACTGACATGACTGACCAGAATGCTACCAGGGCTTCAGACTGGCGTCCTGCAGCTGTTTTCTGTCTTTTGTTCCAGTGAGAAGGGGTCTGTGGATGTGTTCTACCTGGATTATGGCACGACTGAGATTGTGTCACTGGATCAAATATGTGCCGCTGTTCCGGCGTTCTTCTTCGCTGTTCATCAGCATACATGGAAGTGTTGTCTCGCTGGAATCAGACCTGTAAGTAGATAGATTCTGTCTGGTATTTCTTTAAATCTTTGGGCTAAAATTGTTGCTGGTAGATTCAAAAAGGTAAATTTTTAAGACATATCCTATTTCACAATCAGACTTTTCCTAACATTTTGTCCGACGTACCTCAATCATTCGCTGTTGATTCTTCTGGCAGTTCTGACCACTTCTGGGTCGGACAAATCTTTACAACGAATCAGTCAGTCTGTGTGTTTCGACAAAGAATCATCGCTTATCATGCTAATCAATTAGGAGAAGCAACAGAGCTACGATATGCTTGATTGTGTGAGAGATTGCCGTTCACCACATCAATCGTTGAGGTCAGAAGAGCAGGGGGAGATTTGACAGGAATTGTTCTACCTCTCAACAAGCGTCAGAGATGCTTTGACAGCTGAGATCGGGCTCGACCGACCCCACGACAATCAACTTTCTGTGAGGACTGTCATAGCGATAGACACCATGAGCATTGAACTACGTAATTGGGATATGATGATATGCATCAACCAAACTTGACCTCCCGATCGCCTTTATCGCCTCTTATGACAAGTATAGTCGCTTTTATGACAAGCATGGACCTATTGCTGAAGACCTATTCTCTACTCGGATCTTCATGGGTCAGACAGGACAGTCAAGACAAGGATTGGCAAACCTCTCTAAGTGTTGATTATTGAAAGTGGTGATTATAAACAGGATCCTCACCGATTGATTAGAGGATCAAGTGGGTCAGCTTATGCTACCCAAGTCCTGGGATCGTCTTCACAACCATCATTATTTTCGCCTACGGATATCCAAACCCTGGCTAGTGTTATTGCAGTATATATCATCGTCTGATGTGGCATCTGTACCAGGATGATCAGAACTGGGAATGTTACCTTTCTCAGGATAGACATTGTCGAGTGAGTGAGGATGGACACGATTGTTCATCGAACTTTCACTAGAACGTTCGGCAGAGATTCAGTGATGTCCTCATCTTCAAGACTTATTTGCATGCATCAAATATCACGAAGGTCAGCTTGTTAATGAATGCATTGGTCAAGTGACACATTCTACAGGGAGTTGGCAGCATGTACACCATGTTTCTTCGTAACTCGGGACACTATTTGCTCAGTCTGCCATACAGTTCACAATGTATTGTCATGTGATGGGTGTGTGTGGGGCTTTGATCAAGTGTCTAGCGCAGAGGTACATCGAGGCCGATTTGCATATCACGTGTCAGGGCTTTATCTGGTTTGTAAACAAGACTGCTTATTCTGGAATCAGGACAGATTGACTTAATGCGAGCCTTCGATGCACTTTACATGTTGCAGTGTTCCCGCTGGCTTTGGAAACTGCCAGTCCTTGTGGACAAGCAACTCTAAAAATTACCAGTCCCCGCTAACTTTTGCCGGTCCCAACTTTCAACAAATAACAAAATGTATGAAAATTATTATCCCCCGCCACGAAGTGGTAGGGGGACATAGGAATGGGTGCGGTCCGGCCGTCACATTTCGTCTCCAGAGCAGATCTTGAAAACCGTACCATATTTCTTCAACAAACTTGGCACATAGATAGATCTAGTGGTGAACTGGTGCCTTTTGATAGTTTGGGATTTTTAAAAAAATTACTTTTCGAGTTTCCATGGCAACGACTTTGATTTAGACTGAAAATGGCGGTAGTCCTCGTTTCCGGACCAGATCTTGAAAACCGTACCATATTTCTTCACCATATCTTGCACATCGATAGATTTAGTGGTGAACTGGTGCCTTTTGATAGTTTGGGATTTTTAAAAAAAATATTTTTCGAGTTTCCATGGCAACGACTTTGATTTAGACTGAAAATGGCGGTAGTCCTCGTTTCCGGAGCAGATCTTGAAAACCGTACCATATTTCTTCACCAAACTTGGCACATTGATAGATCTAGTGGTGAACTGGTGCCTTTTGATACGTTGGGATTTTTTTAAAAAGTTATTTTTCGAGTTTCCATGGCAACGACTTTGATTTAGACTGAAAATGGCAGTAGTCCTCGTTTCCAGACCAGATCTTGAAAACCGTACCATATTTCTTCAACAAACTTGGCACATAGATAGATCTAGTGGTGAACTGGTGCCTTTAGATAGTTTGGGTTTTAAAAAAAGTTATTTTTCGAGTTTCCATGGCAACGACTTTGATTTAGACTGAAAATGGCGGTAGTCCTTGTTTCCGGAGCAGATTTTGAAAACTGTACCATATTTCTTCACCAAACAAAGCACATTGATAGATCTAGTGTTGAACTTGTGCCTTTTGATAGTTTGGGACTTTTAAAAAAGTTATTTTTCGAGTTTCCATGGCAACGACTTTGATTTAGACTGAAAATGGCGGTAGTCCTCGTTTCCGGAGCAGATCTTGAAAACCGTACCATATTTCTTCACCAAACTTGGCACATAGATAGATCTAGTGGTGAACTGGTGCATTTTGATAGTTTGGGATTTTTAAAAATTATTTTTCGAGTTTCCATGGCAACGACTTTGATTAAGACTGAAAATGGCGGTAGTCCTCGTTTCCAGAGCAGATCTTGAAAACCGTACCATATTTCTTCACCAAACCTGGCACATAGATAGATCTAGTGGTGAACTTGTGCCTTTTGATAGTTGGGGATTTTTAAAAAAGTTATTTTTTTCGAGTTTCCATGGCAACGACTTTGATTTAGACTGAAAATTGCGGTAGTCCTCGTTTCCAGAGCAGATCTTGAAAACCGTACCATATTTCTTCACCAAACCTGGCACATAGATAGATCTAGTGGTGAACTTGTGCCTTTTGATAGTTTGGGATTTTTAAAAAAGTTATTTTTTTCGAGTTTCCATGGCAACGACTTTGATTTAGACTGAAAATTGCGGTAGTCCTCGTTTCCGGAGCAGATCTTGAAAACCGTACCATATTTCTTCACCAAACTTGGCACATAGATAGATCTAGTGGTGAACTGGTGCCTTTTGATAGTTTGGGATTTTAAAAAAAGTTATTTTTCGAGTTTCCATGGCAACGACTTTGATTAAGACTGAAAATGGCGGTAGTCCTCGTTTCCGGAGCAGATCTTGAAAACCGTACCATATTTCTTCACCATATCTTGCACATAGATAGAATTAGTGGTGAACTGGTGTTTTTGATAGTTTGGGATTTTAAAAAAAAACATTTTCGAGTTTCCATGGCAACGACTTTGATTAAGACTGAAAATGGCGGTAGTCCTCGTTTCCGGAGCAGATCTTGAAAAACGTACTATATTTCTTTACAAAAGGGCCCAGTGAACATAGTTCACAGGAAGTAATACATTGCACACACCCGACATGTCATATTGGCTGGGGATGTGAGTATTTCATGCTTGTTTAGTTTTAAATCTTTCAACATCATGCTCAGTGCAAAGATGTAATCTCTGAAGTAACTTAGTTAGATCTCTATGTCATTCACACAAACATCAGTCACGATTTTCTCTCTCTTTTTTAATATTTTGAGAAGAAGTCACCACAAATGGATATTTAACCTAGAAATAGACCAGGGGAAACCCTGATGGCAACAGACAAGCTGACTTTGTTTGAAAAATGTACTTAAATGAATATCACCAATGTTTTGTTCAACAAAGATTTGTATAAGGTACTTTATTTGCCGGTCCACAGGGACTGGCAGTCACATGAATTACCGGTCCAAGCCTAAGTTTACCAGTAAAAAACTGGTAATTACCGGTAAACGGGAACGCTGATGTTGTGTGCATGTATGGATGTACTGCAACAGCCGCGACCCCGAAGGGTTTGACGATTTACTTTTTCTACATCAAAGTGACCATGTCACTGGTTTGCTGTAGGGCTTCAATGACAACATGTGGAAACGTTCGCACCATGCACCACCTTTCGTCAGTGCCTCGACATAGATTAGAGAGCACACTTGTTTGTTTAATGAGTGGCAGGGCTTTGGTCTGAAGATGAACAATATCTATACATGAACTACCTCGATCCTTGAGCAGTGGTGTTGGCAGTGACACACTGGGCGGAGGTACTACAATGGCCTGACTGATTGGACAATGCATCAATCATGTGGCGGAGCAATGGTTTGCAGATGACGGTTTGCTGCTCAACCTGGAATTACAGCATCCATGGAATGGAATCTATTGCTTCAATTTTCAGGCGATTCATTATCAATGGAACATGCTCCCATTTGGACTTTTCTAATGCCCCGTCGTTTATCGCTCGCATCACAAAACCTATCACTCAGTTTTAGCAGTGTCGGGGCATCATATTTGAAGCATACATAGATGATTGCATCCAAGCTTACTTAGATCAGTTATTCTGGAGAAACATTTACAGTTCGCCAGGAAGTTCTTACATCAACTAGGATGGGTAATCAAAAAGTCAGATCCCCACTCAACAACTCCATTTTATCTGAGTGTTGTTCAATACCAAGCAGGGCAGAATGTTTGACCCACCAGATAGGTGGTTTGTTCTTTTTAAGCTGGAAACATGTTAAGGATCATTTCCATACATTTCCATAAGGATTGATAAGATGACACACAGATGAGATGGGATAAGTATTTTTGAATATACAATTTATTGTTAACTTTACAAACTATTTAAAAGTTGCTTTCCTAATGGATCATGACACAAGTTCCGGCACTCCATCAGTTTGGCCTTCACTTGATGAAGTCATGCTCCAAAAGTTTGTTTGTTTTTTTGGTTTATGCCGCACTCAGCAATATTCCAGCTATATGATGGCAGTTTGTAAATAATCGAATCTGGACTAGACTATCCAGTGATTGATATCATGTGCATTAATCCATGCAATTTGGATTCAATGACATGCATCAACCAAGTCAGCGAGCCTGACCACCTGATCTTGTTAGTCGCCTTTTACGACAAGCATAGTCACTTTTTATGGCAAGCATGGGTTGCTGAAGACATATTCTACCCCGAAACTTCACGGGTCTGCTCCAAAAGTGAAATACAACTCTTCAAGAATTTTGTTTGTTTGTTGCCTGTGATACTATTTTGTACTGTTGTTGTATAGATTGCAAAGACATGGACAAGTCGCGGCGTGAAGTATTTTGAAAAGCTGGTCGAGGGAGAAGAGACTCTCCAGGTGTCGATCGTGTCCTACGGAGCTTCTCTCATGTGTCACAAGATAGCCCTATACTCAGGGTAAGCTAGTCCTTCTTACAAACCGCGGGTAATACAGTTTCTAAAAGTCACCCCCATACAACAACATGCAGTCACCCCCATACAACAACATGCAGTCACCCAAGGGAAGCACCAGATTCAGTCTGTCTCTTCTGAAGACAAGCAGAGTCTGTAGGTGACTTGTCACTGAAACAGCAACCTCAAACATCACACATCCCCTCCATCACTGAAACAGTAAACATCACACATCACTTCCCTCACTGAAACAGTAAACCTCACACATCCCCTCCATCACTGAAACAGTAAACATCACACATCCCCTCCATAACTGAAACAGCAACCTCACACATCCCCTCCATCAATGAAACAGTAAACCTCACACATCCCCTCCATCACTGAAACAGTAAACATCACACATCCCCTCCATCACTGAAACAGTAAACATCACACATCACTTCCATCACTGAAACAGTAAACATCACACATCACTTCCATAACTGAAACAGCAACCTCACACATCCCCTCCATCACTGAAACAGTAGCCTCACACATCACTGAAGTAGCAACCTCACACATCACTGATGGAAGTGATGTATGAGGTTGCTGTTTCAGTGATGGAGGGGATGTGTGAGGTTGCTGTTTCCGTGATGTGTGAGGTTGCTGTTTCAGTGATGGAAGTGATGTGTGAGGTTGCTGTTTCAGTGATGGAGGGGATGTGTGAGGTTACTGTTTCAGTGATGTGTGAGGTTGCTGTTTCAGTGATGTGTGAGGTTGCTGTTTCAGTGATGTGTGAGGCTACTGTTTCAGTGATGGAGGGGATGTGTGAGGTTGCTGTTTCAGTGATGTGTGAGGTTGCTGTTTCAGTGATGTGTGAGGTTGCTGTTTCAGTGATGTGTGAGGTTGCTGTTTCAGTGATGTGTGAGGTTGCTACTTCAGTGATGTGTGAGGCTACTGTTTCAGTGATGGAGAGGATGTGTGAGGTTGCTGTTTCAGTGATGTGTGAGGTTGCTGTTTCAGTGATGTGTGAGGTTGCTGTTTCAGTGATGTGTGAGGTTGCTGTTTCAGTGATGTGTGAGGTTGCTACTTCAGTGATGTGTGAGGCTACTGTTTCAGTGATGGAGGGGATGTGTGAGGTTGCTGTTTCAGTGATGTGTGAGGTTGTTGTTTCAGTGATGTGTGAGGTTGCTGTTTCAGTGATGTGTGAGGTTGCTGTTTCAGTGATGTGTGAGGTTGCTACTTCAGTGATGTGTGAGGCTACTGTTTCAGTGATGGAGGGGATGTGTGAGGTTGCTGTTTCAGTGATGTGTGAGGTTGCTGTTTCAGTGATGTGTGAGGTTGCTGTTTCAGTGATGTGTGAGGTTGCTGTTTCAGTGATGTGTGAGGTTGCTACTTCAGTGATGTGTGAGGCTACTGTTTCAGTGATGGAGAGGATGTATGAGGTTGCTGTTTCAGTGATGTGTGACAGTGCTGTTTCAGTGATGTGTGAGGTTGCTGTTTCAGTGATGTGTGAGGTTGCTGTTTCAGTGATGTGTGAGGTTGCTGTTTCAGTGATGTGTGAGGTTGCTACTTCAGTGATGTGTGAGGCTACTGTTTCAGTGATGTGTGAGGCTACTGTTTCAGTGATGGAGGGGATGCCCGCTCTCTGGCCCACCTGATGCTGGAGGAGGAGGTGGGAATGGTGAGTAGAGCATCCTTGTGTAGAATACAGTCTAAAAGAGTGTGGTTTCAAGCACTGGGCTATATGGTGGCACAGGTGGCATGGCACATTAACTACAGTAATAGGAATGAATCATGTGGTCCTTAACTTCTTTTGAGTTTTATTAAATAAGTCCCTTGTAAAACTGAACTCACTCGCCTGGATGTGTCTTGCAGGCGTGTGACATTGATGACGTTGCGGAGTATGCCCATGAGGTGGAGCGAGTGTTCCCTGAGTGTTCCACAGAGGACATGCAGCAAGGTTGTCTGGATGCTTCGGAGGAGAGACATCGGGACGAGGTTGAAGGTAAACAGCTAGAGATGTTTCAGATCAAGTAGAAGAGCTTTGATTGATGAATAAGCAGATGTCAGACGCAGATGTTGAAAATGTAACACGTCAACGCCAGAGAATAATCAATCTTAATTATCCACCATGAAACATTTCCTTGGAACTAAAGATATCAAAATTCAGGTTATCATAACATGGAACTTTATACTGTTATAGCTTTGGGCCTGTGACTTAGTCTGGCTTCATTTCATTGACTTCAGTATTACAATACCTCTGAATGTCAGAATATCACAACTATACAAAAATTCCCAATTCTGCAAAAATAATTGGGGTTTTCCATTTTGCCCACCACAATCTAGGAATAGCAGGTTCTGAGCAGGAAATGTTCATTTTATTAGAACAAGATGCTGGCAGAAGATACTTGTAATAATTGCTTTACTTTTTATCCCCTGTCGGGCCAGAAAGGCCGAAGGGTGATTATGTTGTGGCGCAGCCCGTCCGTCCGTCCGTCCGTCTGTCTGTCCCACAGAGGGTACTAAGCTTGTGAAATCAACTCCTCCTACAGTTTCCAGAGAATATCCCTGACACTCTACACACAAGATGTCAACATGTTGATGATACGCATATCGCAGTCCCATTTCATTTCGACAAATTTTGACAGAGTTACTGCCCCTGTTTTACGGAGCTTCATTTGCCTAATTGTGAGAGAGGGTACTAAGCTTGTGAAATCAACTTCTCCTACAGTTTCCAGAGAATATCCCTGACACTCTACAGACAGGATGTCGACATGTTGATGATACGCATATCGCAGTCCCGTTTCATTTCGACTAATTTTGACAGAGTTACTGCCCCTGTTTTACGGAGCTTCATTTGCCTCATTGTGAGAGAGGTACTAAGCTTGTGAAATCAACTCCTCCTACAGTTTCCAGAGAATATCCCTGACACTCTACACACAAGATGTCAACATGTTGATGATACGCATATCGCAGTCCCGTTTCATTTCGACTAATTTTGACAGAGTTACTGCCCCTGTTTTACGGAGCTTCATTTGCCTCATTGTGAGAGAGGTACTAAGCTTGTGAAATCAACTCCTCCTCCAGCTTTTAGAGAATATCCCTGACACTCTACACACAAGATGTCGACATGTTGATGATATGCATATCGCAGTCCCGTTTCATTTCGACAAATTTTGACAGAGTTACTGCCTCTGTTTGACGGAGCTTCATTTGCCTAATTGTGAGAGAGGGTACTAAGCTTGTGAAATCAACTTCTCCTACAGTTTCCAGAGAATATCCCTGACACTCTACACACAAGATGTCGACATGTTGATGATACGCATATCGCAGTCCCGTTTCATTTCGACTAATTTTGACAGAGTTACTGCCCCTGTTTTACGGAGCTTCATTTGCCTCATTGTGAGAGAGGGTACTAAGCTTGTGAAATCAACTCCTCCTACAGTTTCCAGAGAATATCCCTGACACTCTACACACAAGATGTCAACATGTTGATGATACGCATATCGCAGTCCCGTTTCATTTCGACTAATTTTGACAGAGTTACTGCCCCTGTTTTACGGAGCTTCATTTGCCTCATTGTGAGAGAGGTACTAAGCTTGTGAAATCAACTCCTCCTCCAGCTTTTAGAGAATATCCCTGACACTCTACACACAAGATGTCAACATGTTGATGATACGCATATCGCAGTCCCGTTTCATTTCGACAAATTTTGACAGAGTTACTGCCTCTGTTTGACGGAGCTTCATTTGCCTAATTGTGAGAGAGGGTACTAAGCTTGTGAAATCAACTCCTCCTACAGTTTCCAGAGAATATCCCTGACACTCTACACACAAGATGTCAACATGTTGATGATACGCATATCGCAGTCCCGTTTCATTTCGACTAATTTTGACAGAGTTACTGCCCCTGTTTTACGGAGCTTCATTTGCCTCATTGTGAGAGAGGTACTAAGTTTGTGAAATCAACTTCTCCTCCAGCTTTTAGAGAATATCCCTGACACTCTACACACAAAATGTCGACATGTTGATGATATGCATATCGCAGTCCCGTTTCATTTCGACTAATTTTGACAGAGTTACTGCCCCTGTGTTACGGAGTTTCATGAAATCATCTACTTCTCCAGTTTCCAGAGAATATCACAATATCTAACTATAACTATAACTATAGTTAGTTTCCTTGTTTAAGGCTTTTGTGGGTGAGCTACATCCTTATGGCATTAGCATTCAGACTGGATTACTTCCAACAAAATGTTCTGCACAATTTGTTTCAAATGCAGTGCCATCTACTGTTGTTATTTCATAAAATACAAAGAAAATATAAACTCGTTAAAAACATTCATGCGGGGGATGTTGTGCTCTCAGAGCGCTCTTGTCATTATTTGCGATCAGCATATACGTCCATCCATCCGTTTCTGGAGCAGAACTCCTAAACCGATGGATATTTCTCATTTAAACTTGCTATCCAGATCAGTCTAATGAACTGATGCCTTTTGATGATTTGGCATTTTATGTATTTTTTATTTTATTTTATTTTTTATGAAGACAAGTTGGACTTTACGTAAAATGAGGGTAATGCTCGTTTCCGGAGCAGAACTCCAAAACTGTTGAATATTTCTGGATCAAACTTGCTATACAGATCAGTCTAGTGGCGAACTGGTGCCTTTTGATGATTTTAGATATTGAAAAATACTGAACAGCATTATTTTCTTCTTCTCTAAACATGCTGAACTGAAGGTATCCAATGGTAATGAACCTAAAGTGGGTTATAAGTCATCTCCATCTCCTGATTACTCTTGTTTTCATTTAGATCTGCCTAGCTATGAATCTAGTCCTGTCTCACAATCAAGTCATGATGACCAACCTATCTGCAAGTCAGAAGACAGCTCTGGCAGGAGCGTGTGTGAGCCCGCTGAGGAACTGACAGACGAGACACCTCCCCAGTCTCCAGCAGTGACCATCCCGGGCTTCAACCTCAACACCATCTTCAAGACCAAGATGGCCACTGCAGACATCATCGCGCAGAAGAAGGAGGACGAGAGGAAGAAGACCATCACGTCCGAGATGGAAAAGGATCTGAAGATGGTGCAGCAGAATATGGAGGAAGTTGTTGTGGAGAAGGAGGAGGTCACTGAGTGGGGTGAGTGTGGAGGTCACTGAGTTGGGTGAAGGTGTAGGTCAGTGAGTGGGGTTAAGGTCACTAAGTGGGGGTCAGGGTGGAGGTCACTGAGTGGGGTCAGGGTTGGGGTAACTTGAAGGTGGAGGTCACTGTGTGGGGTAAGGGTGGAGGTCACTGTGTGGGTTGAGTGTAGGGGTCACTGAGTGGGGTGGAGGTCACTGAGTGGGATGAAGGTGGAGGTGACTGAGTGGGGTGAGGGTGGAGGTCACTGTGTGGGGTGACGTGAAGGTGGAGGTCACTGTGTGGGTTGAGTGTAGAGGTCACTGAGTGGGGTGAAGGTGGAGGTCACAGAGTGGGGTGAGGATAGAGGTCACTGAGTGGGTTGAGTGTAGAGGTCACTGAGTGGGGTGAAGGTGGAGGTCACAGAGTGGGGTGAGGATAGAGGACACTGAGTGGGGTAAGGGTGGAGGTCACTGTGTGGGTTGAGTGTAGAGGTCACTGAGTGGGGTGAGGGTGGAGGTCACTGTGTGGGGTGACGTGAAGGTGGAGGTCACTGTGTGGGTTGAGTGTAGAGGTCACTGAGTGGGGTGAAGGTGGAGGTCACAGAGTGGGGTGAGGATAGAGGTCACTGAGTGGGTTGAGTGTAGAGGTCACTGAGTGGGGTGAAGGTGGAGGTCACAGAGTGGGGTGAGGATAGAGGACACTGAGTGGGGTAAGGGTGGAGGTCACTGTGTGGGTTGAGTGTAGAGGTCACTGAGTGGGGTGAGGGTGGAGGTCACTGTGTGGGGTGACGTGAAGGTGGAGGTCACTGTGTGGGGTGACGTGAAGGTGGAGGTCACAGAGTGGGGTGAGGATAGAGGTCACTGTGTGGGTTGAGGATAGAGGTCACTGTGTGGGTTGAGGATAGAGGTCACTGTGTGGGTTGAGGATAGAGGTCACTGTGTGGGTTGAGTGTAGAGGTCACTGAGTGGGGTGAAGGTGGAGGTCACAGAGTGGGGTAAGGGTGGAGGTCACTGTGTGGGGTGACGTGAAGGTGGAGGTCACTGTGTAGGTTGAGTGTAGAGGTCACTGAGTGGGGTGAAGGTGGAGGTCACAGAGTGGGGTAAGGGTGGAGGTCACTGTGTGGGGTGAAGGTGGAGGACACTGAGTGGGTTGAGTGTAGAGGTCACTGACCGGGGTGAAGGTGGAGGTCACTGAGTGGGGTAAGGGTGGAGGTCACTGAGTGGGGTGAGGGTGGAGGTCACTGTGTGGGGTGAAGGTGGAGGACACTGTGTGGGGTGAAGGTGGAGGACACTGTGTGGGTTGAGTGTAGAGGTCACTGAGTGGGGTGAAGGTGGAGGTCACAGAGTGGGGTGAGGATAGAGGTCACTGTGTGGGTTGAGTGTAGAGGTCACTGAGTGGGGTGAAGGTGGAGGACACTGAGTGGGGTGAGGGTGGAGGTCACTGTGTGGGGTGAAGGTGGAGGACACTGAGTGGGGTGAAGGTGGAGGTCACTGTGTGGGTTGAGTGTAGAGGTCACTGAGTGGGGTGAAGGTGGAGGACACTGAGTGGGGTGAAGGTGGAGGTCACTGAGTGGGGTAAGGGTGGAGGTCACTGTGTGGGTTGAGTGTAGAGGTCACTGAGTGGGGTGAAGGTGGAGGACACTGAGTGGGGTGAAGGTGGAGGTCACTGAGTGGGGTAAGGGTGGAGGTCACTGTGTGGGTTGAGTGTAGAGGTCACTGAGTGGGGTGAAGGTGGAGGACACTGTGTGGGGTGAAGGTGGAGGTCACTGAGTGGGGTGAAGGTGGAGGTCACTGAGTGGGGTAAGGGTGGAGGTCACTGTGTGGGTTGAGTGTAGAGGTCACTGAGTGGGGTGAAGGTGGAGGACACTGTGTGGGGTGAAGGTGGAGGACACTGAGTGGGGTGAAGGTGGAGGTCACTGAGTGGGGTAAGGGTGGAGGTCACTGTGTGGGTTGAGTGTAGAGGTCACTGAGTGGGGTGAAGGTGGAGGACACTGAGGGGGGTGAAGGTGGAGGTCACTGAGTGGGGTAAGGGTGGAGGTCACTGTGTGGGTTGAGTGTAGAGGTCACTGTGTGGGGTGAAGGTGGAGGTCACTGTGTGTGGTGACGTGACGGTGGAGGTCACTGAGTGGGGTAAGGGTGGAGGACACTGTGTGTGGTGACGTGAAGGTGGAGGTCACTGAGTGGGGTAAGGGTGGAGGACACTGAGTGGGGTGAACGTGGAGGTCACAGAGTGGGGTAAGGGTGGAGGTCACTGTGTGGGTTGAGTGTAGAGGTCACTGAGTGGGGTGAAGGTGGAGGTCACAGAGTGGGGTGAGGATAGAGGACACTGTGTGGGTTGAGTGTAGGGGTCACTGAGTGGGGTGAGGGTGGAGGTCACAGAGTGGGGTAAGGGTGGAGGTCACTGTGTGGGTTGAGTGTAGAGGTCACTGTGTGGGGTGAAGGTGGAGGTCACTGTGTGTGGTGACGTGACGGTGGAGGTCACTGAGTGGGGTAAGGGTGGAGGTCACTGAGTGGGCTGAGTGTAGAGGTCACTGAGTGGGGTGAACGTGGAGGTCACAGAGTGGGGTAAGGGTGGAGGTCACTGTGTGGGTTGAGTGTAGAGGTCACTGAGTGGGGTGAAGGTGGAGGTCACAGAGTGGGGTGAGGATAGAGGACACTGTGTGGGTTGAGTGTAGGGGTCACTGAGTGGGGTGAACGTGGAGGTCACAGAGTGGGGTAAGGGTGGAGGTCACTGTGTGGGTTGAGTGTAGAGGTCACTGAGTGGGGTGAAGGTGGAGGTCACAGAGTGGGGTGAGGATAGAGGACACTGTGTGGGTTGAGTGTAGGGGTCACTGAGTGGGGTGAGGGTGGAGGTCGCTGAGTGGGGTGAAGGTGGAGGTCACTGAGTGGGGTGAGGTTGGAGGTCACTGAGTGGGGTGAGGGTGGAGGTCACTGAATTGGGTGAAGGATGGAGGTCACTGAGTGGGGTGAGAGTGGAGGTCACTGAGTGGGATGAGGGTGGAGGTCACTGAATGGGGTGAAGGTGGAGGTCACTGAGTGGGATGAGGGTTGAGGTCACTGAATGGGGTGAGGGTGGAGGTCACTGAATGGGGTGAAGGTGGAGGTCACTGAGTTGGGTGACGTGAAGGTGGAGGTCACAGACTGGGGTGAGGGTGGAGGTCACTGAGTGAGATCAGGGTCGAGGTTACTGAGTGGGTCAAGAGACAAGGGTAGTCTGGATAGCACTCTTCTTGTTATTACAGAAAACCTGACGGGATCGGCCAAGAAGATGTTTCTCTAGAAGTATTTTTGTAGTTTTTGTTTGAAGGTATGATGGTTATATTTTAAGTGCTTGTGGTCACTCCATGATTCCTGTTGGACATAGGTGCCTCTGACTACGACATAGGGAAGCGGGTGTTCAAGCATCAGCCGGATGTGTTTGCCCAGAAGGTGGCAGTGATAAGAGAAGCTACAGGAGATCAGAACTGGACCCCGAGCATGACAGAGGGCCACGGTCAGTACACTCCGGGAGAGGGAATGTTGTTAAAGCTGCTGCAGTTAGCAGTAGTCCAGCTTAATCTTAATCAAAACTGTAAATCATTGAGTCTTGGAAACTAATGACTGAAAGCGTGAGTGACAATCAACATCATCAGGGCCTGATGACACACCCTCACCAAAGACAGACCCCCCAGTTCTCATTGTATGCTTACCACATGCATGTATAATTTCAATCCTTTATGTAAAGTATAAATATATATTCTGTTTTTCAACTTGGAAGACAGAATCTTACAGATGCTGGCTGCTATTTTGTAAAGGAAGGTTACAATATTATCGCAGTAAACAGAAAGTTTGTTCTTCCAAGCATGAAATTGGCTAAAGTTGAGGATGAAAGGTCCGCTTTTGGCCCCAGAAGTGCAAATAACTTTCTTATTAACATGATGAAGATAGCTGAGGGCATGCAAGCTTCTGTACTACATTATGTCAGTACTGCCAGAAACCATATAAGACGTTAGACCAGACTTGCATGTAAGGCATCAAAGTAGGGAGAGGAATGGGACTTTCAGCTGTTAGGTCCTGTGTTTTTTAGATGTCATCAGATTGTGGGTGCATTTAGGTTCCTTTTTATGCAAACTGGAGGCAAGGTAGTTTAATCTGGTATGAGGCATCTTCCTGAGGCAAGGGAGTTAATCGACTGTAAAAGTCCAGTTTTCACCCTTGCCGGACTAGGCTGGAATTTCTGGGCTCGATCGTAGTGCCACCAGTGGCTATTACAAGTTATGCCCCTTCTATTGACCAATCAGATTCCACCTCTCATATTACTTGCATTTGCTTCAAACAAAATGGCGGCACCCAGTCGAGACGATCTGATATATTACCTCACAAAGTGCATCATATCACGTGAGCACCTTGATTAAAAACATGAAAAGATTTAGACAATATCTGTCAACGCCCAGTCGACGGTACATATCCTTTGAAAATCCTGCATTCAACTGAAATCTGCACTTTGAAATCCATGTTGTTTATGAACCAGATGTCGATTTCGTTACGCAATTTGGATTGGACTAAGCATAGACTCGTTAGTCCAGCCAAAATATAACTCCAGCCTAGTTCGGCCAGGGTGGGAACTGGACTTTTACAGTCTGTTAACTCCCTTGCCTCAGGAAGATGGAATGAGGTTGTAGCATGCATGTTTCCTAAAACTGAAGGAATCATTGATGTCCTGAATGTCCCCAGGTCCCCAGAAGCCAATCCTGCAGGAACTCCAGGCAGAAGCAGTGAAGCCTGAGATTCCTAAAACCAGTCAAGATCTAGCACAGATGACGGCACCCAGTACCAGGTACAGACATCCTGCCTCAGTCCGAGGTTCAGTTATGTTACTGAGGAATTTATGAATGAAAAGAGTTGACAAAGTGAAAAGTGACCTTCACTGTAACATTGTTTGAACAAAAGAATTGTCATCACAGGTTGTATGTTGATTTGTTTCTCTTACTTCTGTAACAACCCGTGAGGATCTGGGGTAGAATAGGTCTTCAGCAACCCAGTCTTACCATAAAAGGCGACTATGCTTGTCGTAAGAGGCGACTAACAGGATTGGTCGGTCAGGCTCGCTGACTTGGTTGATGCATGCCACCAATTGCGTGGATCGATGCTCATGATGTCAATCACTGGATTGTCTTGTCCAGACTCGATTATTTACAGACCGCCTTCATATAGCTGGAATATTGCCGAGTGCGGTGTAAAACAACAAACAAACAAAATATTTCTGTAAGTGTATGCTACGTTGCCATGGTTGCCAGACAGGTTGTTCTTTTTTTCATTTCTATGTTTGCAGACGGTTCACACTAGCATCAGTGTATTATATCTTTCTTGTATCACTCTTACAACCAAGATACTGTATATCAGGGGTCCGGAAACGGTCATATGCGCCGGACATGTCCGATTGGGAATCTCAAATGTCCAGTTTAACATATTGCTTACCGGACAGTTAAATTTTTCTGTCCGGACATTTTCAAAAACAAACAACGCTGCCTTCGGGGTCAAAATAATTGATGAGAGTTATCGTATCCCTTCAGCGAATTCAGGTGAATAAACAGGTAAAACAAACTTGGTCAATAAAAGTATGAAATTTGATATAAAACATCACTAGACATGATGATTTACCATTTAAAATGTATTTCCTGCTCTCCAAGACATTGTTTTAAATGCAGAGATTAAGATTACCGTGTGTTTTCTTGTAAACTAAGCCGGAAATAGCAATCAGCTGTGCACATGTCTCTCCCAAACTACCGGTGATTCAGTTAAAACGTACCCAATGAGACAACTTCAAAGAATTTTGATGCAATGGTCCGAAGAAATTGTATCTGAAATTATTATTTTATCAGGAATAATATATTCCAATATCGTGTTATTTTAGTTGCAGCTTCCACCATATATACTTAAAATTATAAGAGCTATAAGCATAGCACTTTGGTACAGATGGTATGCAGGATATTTTTTGACGTATGGAACGATTTTGACCAGTCACCGTAGGGACTTCCCGCCCTGCATGTATTTCGACTTGGAAAACGTTATGTTGACATTTAATAGTCAAACTGCCTCAAATATGACTTTGAGCGAGTCATGGTACGGCATTTATGATATGTGTATCCATTCTCTTGCAACTAAAGTTCGTTTCAAGGCATCAATAGTGGTAATCTGACCGTGGTTGCTGTAAACAACGGTGAGTTGTCACTTCACATACGATTTCGCCGAAATTATTGTAAACATTATTATAATTATTGAATGAAATTTTGAATATAATTAATCAAATATATTGCAAACATTAGTCCAGATAAACAATGAACATTTTTTTTATTACCAGATATTATAATAATAGGATTAAATTGCGTGCTTCAGTTCAGATTTGTTGACTGGTATTTCCGTTGTTACGTGATCGCTGTGATCAGCTGATAATGTTTTCTGAGATGGGGGGAAAACATCGTGTCATTGGAAAACTGAGTTTATTTAATATGTTAGTAAATTTTGGGAGCCATGCTTTACCACGCACTATAACAGAAGCGCGCATTAACGAGGGAACACTTATGTAACAACTTGTAATGTGTGTGAAAAGTCGTACTAAAATACGCTATTTGAAGGGGGCATGGCCTAAATGCAAATGTCCAATTGGACCCCTGCTGTATATCACTGTGCATGAGGCAAGTTTTTTTAACCTATGAATAGGAGGGTTTCAAGGGGGGTGTCTGTGTCTCATACACAGGGTAGAAGTGTTTTGATGTTTTTTTCCCCAACACAAAGACCGTTTGTATTATATATCGACAAAGTGTATCATGCTTGTATCAACCTTACAACCAAGATATGTATCATATATCGACAAAGTGTATCATGCTTGTATCAACCTTACAACCAAGATATGTATCATATATCGACAAAGTGTATCATGCTTGTATCAACCTTACAACCAAGATATGTATCATATATCGACAAAGTGTATCATGCTTGTATCAGCCTTACAACCAAGATATGTATCATATATCGACAAAGTGTATCATGCTTGTATCAACCTTACAACCAAGATATGTATCATATATCGACAAAGTGTATCATGCTTGTATCAGCCTTACAACCAAGATATGTATCATATATCGACAAAGTGTATCATGCTTGTATCAACCTTACAACCAAGATATGTATCATATATCGACAAAGTGTATCATGCTTGTATCAACCTTACAACCAAGATATGTATCATATATCGACAAAGTGTATCATGCTTGTATCAACCTTACAACCAAGATATGTATCATATATCGACAAAGTGTATCATGCTTGTATCAACCTTACAACCAAGATATGTATCATATATCGACAAAGTGTATCATGCTTGTATCAACCTTACAACCAAGATATGTATCATATATCGACAAAGTGTATCATGCTTGTATCAACCTTACAACCAAGATATGTATCATATATCGACAAAGTGTATCATGCTTGTATCAACCTTACAACCAAGATATGTATCATATATCAACAAAGTGTATCATGCTTGTATCAACCTTACAACCAAGATATGTATCATATATCGACAAAGTGTATCATGCTTGTATCAGCCTTACAACCAAGATATGTATTATATATTGACAAAGTGTATCATGCTTGTATCAACCTTACAACCAAGATATGTATCATATATCAACAAAGTGTATCATGCTTGTATCAACCTTACAACCAAGATATGTATCATATATCGACAAAGTGTATCATGCTTGTATCATAGAAGATGGTGATGTATTTCAGCAGGCTGCAACCGCTGAAGTTAGGGGATTCCCCAACGCCTGGCGAGAGGCTGGAGTCTCAGTTGTCCAAGCAACTCTCCAAGGTATGTCAGTAATCTCCAAGTCATGGTAGATGTGCTTCCTGACTCTCATCTTCACTTTTAACATCAGCAGATAATATGTAGTTATTTTGTGATCTCATTTTCTTTGCGACTGTATTAATTTGAAAAGCTTTATTGTCTTCGGTATTTTTGGTGTGTATGGATGTATAAATGTAAAAAAATGTTATGTTAATCTCTGTAACGGATTTACGTAAAGTGTACACACAGGTTTTTACTTTTACAACTCCATAAGCACAAAAACAGGTGGAAGTAAATTTATGTAAATAAAAAAGGCCAACAATTATAACTTCACAGACTCCTTTTTTAGTCATTGGCCAAAAAACCCTTGTGGACAATGATACACAGTCTGTGACATCTTTCAGAACAACAATGCAACACAAGCCCCGCCCATTCTAATATCAGCCAATCAGGAAACAGTCTGTTGTTAGTGCGCATGGCCTATGTTTTGTGGGGTTTTTTTTGGAGGGTGGGGTGGGTGTTGTATGGACACATAGGTTTACACACAAAAAGTTGAAAACAATTGCTTGGTTAGTGAATCAAATGCCACACAACCATCTGCAATTATTTATTCCTTGTTATTTATCCCACGCGTCTGTGTCTTGTAGATCCTAGACGAAGGGGAGATAGAAGACCCAGGAGCCTTGTGTGATCAGTTCAACAGAGTGGTGCAGCCAGGTTAGTTATTCTGGCACATGAAGACTTAGTTGCTGGTGGAATTGTTCAAAACATGACCCGTTGGTATTCAAGTGATGTTTGTTGCTCGCAATGTCAATCACTGGATTGTATGGTCCAGACTCGATTATTTTCATACTGTCGTCATTGAGCTGGAATATTGCTGAGTGCAGTGTTCGTCAGCAGACAATTGTGAGGGTTCGCTTGTTATGACCCTGGCTCTCAGACGGTAGCTTTGACAGATTTTGAAGGATTTAGACAAAATTCAGTTAATAGGCAGGTCAAACACCACATGATATTGATGCAACATTTATCCAGTTAAACAAATATCCAACAGATCTTGTTTGTTTGATGTAAGTTCCAAAGTTTTCGTGAAAATAGACAACGTTCTGAAGCAGTCTCCATTATATTATAAGGCTTAACAAAACAATAGTCTTGGTTCTCAGGCACTGACCGAATCATCATGAAGTCTGCCACATGTTTCGTTTTTATTTCCATTTTCAAATATTTAAAAAAAAATTTCTAATACTTAAAAAACAATGTGATCCAATATGGCACACAGCTTTTTCCCTTTACATGCGTTTGTGTGCTTGTTAATGTAGGGCGGCCCTTTCCCAGGTTGATTGTACACAACTGTTTATTTGGTTACATACTAGTTTGAACAAGCAAAAATAAAAGTTCCAAAATTTGCATGAAAATAGATTGCGTTCTGAAGCAGTCTCCATTTAATTATAATGTAATGTGAATGATGTCTCACATCACCTTACTTAATCAAAATGCAACAAAATGAAATAATTTAAAACATTGTTTGGATTGGAGGTTTTTTATGCTTATGGAACATGCCACATCAAAAACGAGGACACAGATAAGATTTTTTATATTATTTTACGAAATTCATATTGGAAGCAGGGACTTCTTCCATTCGTGACCAACTCGTGTTATTCCGGGACGAGCTGAATAGCGACTCGTGCCGCTCTCGTGGCCATTTTTGCGACCAGGTTCCGTCTTAGCGCAAACGGGCATACCTAAAACAATTGTCAACTCGTTGTGAAATGGTTCACATATATTCCCCGTATATTATATATATTTCAGACTGAATTTAAAGCACATCAGGACATGCAAAATTATACAGTATGATTGAACACATTTAACTGTATCTTGGGTATATTTTTACATGCAAGACGTATGTAAATTCAAAAATTATTTCTGAGGGATTCTTTTACGATGAACTTGAAATCATATGTGCATTCTCATTGGTTTGTCGTATTTTCGCACATAACATTCATCGATAGGGGGACGAGTCTTCTTGCAGGTTACGGAAGTGGTGACGAATGGGACTTCTTCCAGTCTAATAGATCAGTTAAGATCACAAGAGTGATGCTTTTGTCTGTGTCTGATGCAGGGTGTTTGAAGGAACCATGGGGGCTGTCTGTCGCTATTGAAGTTCTGCTGGAAACGGCCGTCACCCTCAGAGGCCCTCATCAAGTCACCGTGCTCAACGTTCTCGACACGTATGTAGGTGAGTTGTCTCCCCTGGACGATGGTCTCACAAATGACAAGGCTGAATGAGTGGCAGTCCTTCTACTCACAGACGTGATAGATGTTCAGTTTGTGGAGCTCTCAGACTGTTGTGATAAGGGTGGCCCAGTTGTCTAAGGTGCTGCAGTTCACTGTGCAGATGCATCCCTCAGGCTGACAGAAGCCTGTGAATGTGGGTTTGAATCCCAGGTTTGTGGTTAAATTGTTTGCTCATCATGCTGAAGGCTGTTGTCGATTCCCCACATGGGTACAATGTGTGAAGCCCATGTCTGGTGTCCACCATCCTGATATTGCTGGAATATTGCTAAAAGTGGTGTAAAACTATACTCACTCACTCACTCACTCACTCACTCACTCACTCACTCACCTTAATTGTTTCAGATTCAGCAAATTTTGACGTAAGAATGGAAACCACTTTACGACAGCTTGAGAGGAGATTTGTCAAGGTGAGATTGATACTTGTTGGTGAACGTTTGGATGCCCTAGCACCTCCATGTGTCTGAAATAAAATGGCTAATATTGAAGGACTGCCGGCACTGTCAGCAGAAAGGTATTCATGAGGAAACATTGCATATCGCTTGCTAGCTCGCTCGCTCAACCCACCAAACCCCACTCACTCACTCACTCACTCACTCACTCACTCACTCACTCACTCAACCACTCACTCACTCACTCACTCACTCACTCAACCACCCACACAACCACCCACACAACCACCTACACAACAACCCACAGAGTCAGCCAGTCGTTGTTTTGAGCCCAGATGCAAAGCACCAGCCATATTAACAACTCAACGCCATGTTTAAACTTCTTTTGGTACGATGCGGCTTGGGATTTAACCACCAACATTCTGCTCTCCGGCCCCACGCTCCATCCACTCAACCCAAGAGGCAGTCTTAACCAACATACTGTAAAGGCCTGTTAAATTCCTGTTGTAAGATAAAGACCCCCTGTTCAATGTCATGTTAGTTAGCGGTCTTCGGGAAACCCCCTGATGTAGGAAGGTATACTGCCTCTGTGTACTGGGATTACTAGGGTTCAGTTTTGGGGTTTGACTATTTCAGCCTCCATTTGGAAAGGCAAGAACCTACCATAAAGAATTTGGCCAGGTCCTGGGCCAGCTCCTCGTATTGTCTCGACTGTGGAATAAACAGTAAGTGCCTTGTAGTTGTCATGGTGACAGGGTTTCACATGACCCAGGAATCCTCCATATCTGACGTGACGTGATCCAAAATTATCCTAATCCTATTTTCATATTTGATTATCATGATTAGGTAGACCGTGAGTTTTGTTTCTCAACTGTTCAAGGTTGAAATAACAACATTTATGTTTTATCAACATCTTTTAATCCATAGCTTCCAAGTTAAGATGATGACCCAGTATGACTCAAGATCTTGTTTGAGTCAAGAGGGCATTTTCATTGGCTAGATGAAACCCTGTATTGAGGCTTGAAGTAGTGGGCAATATGGGTTTGTTACCTGTGTAACCCCTAACCAACACAATAGCCAGTAAACATGCAAGACTATATTGGAGTTTGCTCATATCATATGTACATTTTTATATGTGCCCTATTTTCTGGAATTAATTTATTTATTTCAAATCATTTTATTGTTGTAAACATCTGCCAGCTGCAATGCCTTTTGAGCTTTGTTTTCTGTCACAGCACAGCCGACATGGTCCAGGGCTTTGTCTTCAACACAGTGGAGAAGTGGGCCATCTACAACAGAAGTGTAAGTCCCAGACTGCGCACTTGTCATCAGATCTAAACAGTCACCCAACTCTGTGCTGCGCCTTGTGAACGATTTTGACTTTGACTTGTCGCTACACAGAGCTATGGGCTGAGCCATTGTGGTTCCTGATAGATTCCCCATTGGAAATCAAAACGTGTTACAAACTGAATGTTCACCTCCTGCCCTGTATAATTCCCTCCAGTAGGTTCAGCTAATCGTGTACGGAGAGGTGGTCTAACGGTTCATGCGTTGGTTGTCAAGCCGAAGACCAAGGTTTGATTCCCCACATGAACTTGCTGACCTCTTATTATGCCCCCGGTTTGTTTTACCTCTATTAAGAATCTTGCAATTCCATTGGTTAATCCGTACCATGTGACGAAACAATACATTTCAATGTAGGCCCTGAAATCATGTGACTGACACTGACCTCGAATATTTACTTGTCACATGATCAGTATTGAGCTGTCACGTGATGAATATTGACTCGTCTGCTAGAAAACAAGATGGTGTCTGGTATGACATTTCATGGTTCACAGCTAAGTTACTGTAATTAAACAGAGGACGGTTGACCTTTATTGACCTATCTTGACCTGCCATGACCTGTATGGACCCATGTTGACCTGTATTGACCCATGTTGACCTGTATTGACCCTTGTTGACCCATGTTGACCTGTATTGACCCTTGTTGACCTGTATTGACCTATGTTGACCCATGTTGACCTGCCATGACCCTTGTTGACCTGTATTGACCCTTGTTGACCTGTATTGACCCATCTTGACCTGCCATGACCTGTATTGACCCATCTTGACCTGCCATGACCTGTATTGACCCATCTTGACCTGCCATGACCTGTATTGACCCATCTTGACCTGTATTGACCCATCTTGACCTGCCATGACCTGTATTGACCCATCTTGACCTGTATTGACCCATCTTGACCTGCCATGACCTGTATTGACCCTTGTTGACCTGTATTGACCCATGTTGACCTGCATGACCCATGTTGACCTGGCACGCAGGGGTACCAAGTGGGCCTGCAGTATGAGAAGACCCAGCAGATGTACACCGACTGTCTGGAGGGGGTGTGGGTGGTGGCGGCAGACATCATCACCGACATTGATCCATCCACTTTCGTCCGGGTACACAACTGGCTGCAGGACAAGGTCTTAGCTCAATCACATCCAAGGTAACACTCGTCTTGCTCAGACACATTCAAGTTGACACTCTTTTAGCTCAGACACATTCAAGGTGACACTCTTTTAGCTCAAACACATTCAAGGTGACTCTCTTTTAGCTCAATCACATCCAAGGTGACACACTTTTAGCTCAGACACATTCAAGGTGACACTCTTTTAGCTCAGACACATTCAAGGTGACACTCTTTTAGCTCAGACACATTCAATGTGACACTCTTTTAGCTCAGACACATCCAAGGTGACACACTTTTAGCTCAGACACATTCAAGGTGACACTCTTTTAGCTCAGACACATTCAAGGTGACACTCTTTTAGCTCAGACACATTCAATGTGACACTCTTTTAGCTCAGACACATCCAAGGTGACACTCTTTTAGCTCAGACACATTCAAGTTGACACTCTTTTAGCTCAGACACATTCAAGGTGACACTCTTTTAGCTCAGACACATTCAAGCTGACACTCTTTTAGCTCAGACACATTCAAGTTGACACTCTTTTAGCTCAGACACATTCAAGGTGACACTCTTTTAGCTCGGACACATTCAAGGTGACACTCTTTTAGCTCAGACACATTCAAGATACTGGTAACTCTTTTCTAGCTCTGTCACATCCAAGGTAACACTGTCCTAGCTCCTTGAAACAAAGTGTTTATTAGACATACCTGTGACAAACGTAGAGTTGTTCACTAAGGAAGTGTTTGTCCACTTTGCAGGGAGATTCGTAAGCAGGTCCTGAAGCTGTTGCTGAAGCTGAGTCCAGTGAAGGTATTTCATGCGGAGCAGGTTCGTCCAAAGCTGGTCAGCGTAGAGGTCCAGACAGAAACCTCGTCCTTTGCTGTCCCTGACCCCAACTCTACAGCACAGTCACACCAAGAGGGTAGGCAAACAGGAGGCGGTAAATGCATTCAGGAACATAGTAGTAACTAGACTATGTATGAACCTGGATGTTTCCAGCAATGTCAGTGTTTAGTAAACTACATTAGCAGTTGTTCTGAATCAACTTCCTTAGGTCAGATGCAATAAACTTCATGACTGATCAGCACTTCATTTTGAAATCAGCATCAAATTTAGGGGTCAAAGGTGGAAGATACAAAAATAGCATAAAGAACACTTGAAACATGTTTGCAAGTATTTGAAAAAACAAAAGTTGCCTCACTGCCATTTTTAGAAGGGACCAGAAATCCTTACATACCACCATAAATTTCCAGTGATACCATTACTTTCGGTTTGGGGAAACACAAGCCTACTTCAAACCCAACTCTTTATCCGAAATGTTGTCATAAACAGTTACAATTTCTTTGGGTTTTTTAATCTTTTACCTACTGATCAAACTACTTAATGTCAGTGATGGAGCGGTCGGGTAGCCAAATGGTTAAAGCGTTCGTTCGTCACGCCGAAGACCCGGGGTTCGATTCCCGACATGGGTACAATGTGTGAAGCCCATTCTGGTGTCCCCCGCCGTGATATTGCTGGAATATTGCTAAAAGCGGCGAAAAACCATACTCTCTCACTCACTCACTCACTAATGTCAGTGATGAAAATAGTCTCACAATAGGGGAAGAAAAGTTGACTTCTGACTTTCCTTGACTAATAAACGAAACTAAGCTGTCTCTCTCATTTCATTTGTTCTGTATTTTACTGACTGATATGAAAGAGATTATCATTAAAACATCTTTATTAAAAAACACCTGTCAAACAAGTAATTAAAAGAAAAGAGCCTGAAGAGTTATATTGTGTTTTCAGATAGCTCCCTGTTCAGCCACTTTGATACCGAGATAGAAGACATCTCCCCAGTGGCTAGTGACAGTCGGTGCAGAGACGAGGTCAGCCCGGGGTATTATCAATGTCCTGCCACCTCACTGCATGCACCAGACCAGACAGTAACCAGTACAGCAGCTCCCAGCATCCCACCAGCTCTTGCAGGGGAGTACAGCTCCTGGGCCAAGTGTGTCAGCTCGGGGAAACACAAAAACTCCTATATCAAAGGTCCCACGGACAGTGGTCTCAAAGCTTTAGCTCTCCAGACTTTGAGTGGCGAAAAATATGTTTTCTCTGGAAAATTTATTCAAGATTTGCCTCCAAGGTTTAAGAAGCATCTGAACTCCCAGCAGCATGCTACAGAGGAGAGTCAAAGTAGTTCTCACTTCTGTCGCAAGGGGGAAAAGAACAGTGAGGCACCTGGCTTGGATTATCAGACTCCAAAAGAGGTTGACCATGGGGACGGAAGGAAGGACCATGGGGACGGAAGGAAGGACCATGGAGTAGATGATGTGCATGCTGGTAAATCTGTGTTTACTAAGCGTGGGTTGGGCGAGTTCCCTTCGGTCAGGGACATCCTCAACAGCAGCTGTGAGCAGAATGAAGCAGGGAGCGATACTGGGAGTGAGTCCCGGACAAGGTCCCTCACTCCTGTGGACTGGTGGAATGCTGGAACTCACTCCCCGAAGGCAGGTCGGTCAAGGTCAACAAAGTCAAATAGAATGACCCCTCCAGCATCACATTCCCCAGATCCAAGGTCACTTATAAATGTAAATGCTGAAGAATGGGTGCCAATCACATCACCAGGACGCAAATCCTCTAGGACGCCTTTGGGAACATCACCAGTGGGCAAATCCTCTAGGACCCCTTTAGGAACATCACCAGGACGCCAATCCTCTAGGACCCCTTTAGGAACATCACCAGGATACAAATCCTCCAGAGGAGATGTAGGACTCAACTTAAGTTCTTCAAGTTCAGAAGACATGAGTGTATCGTGGAAATCAGGTTTACGAAAATCACGTCACGACTCATCATCTTCCTCCATCAAGTCAATCGTGGAGGACATCTTTGGAAGTGGAGACATCACAGTTCCGTGTGAGCAGGGTCGGGGGGCAGAGTCATCTGAAGTTGAGAAGCTAGTGGTAGCAGACACCGACACCGACGCAGCTAACACCAGCTTCAGTGTGTCCGAGATCACCAGCGAGGTGGAGGATGAGCGGTCCACTGTGAGCAACTCCAATGATGCAGAGTATCAGGGCATCCCAAACTGTCACATCCTTCCAGAGTACTCCAACCAATATGGCTTTGATGACGATTTAGATGAAGATGATTTGGATGGGTTTGTTTTGTCTGGGGAAGGCGACACTCCCTTGAAGGACTCTGGTGAGAGGGACAATAGCTTCTCGTGTGTGGACACTGGAGGTGTTGAAGAGATGGACTATATGAAGCCGTTGCCGCAGAGCCGGGAACAACCTCGACAACCCAGGTACAGTTGGGTTCCGGGGAAGCGCAGCTGTACTCTCTGTGGCTCAACAGACCATACTGTATACAGCTGCAAGAGCAAGAAAAGTGTCATCATCTGAGTCTTCATCACATGAAGGGTTAGTCCACTTGGAATAAGCAGAAATGTGATAGAATGTGGGGGCAGTGTTTGCAGCACAATGGAGTTCAGTTGAAATTCCACCTGGTCAAAGTAATTTAGTTTTTCAGGCAAAACATATTCCGATTTTAAAATAATGAAAACATTCAGAAGATTTGATTGCCATGACAGAAATTTGATTTAGATGAAGGAGTATTCAGAACAATAATTTTATGCTGTTTTCCTTTGTCACTGCAAAGCAGAAGATGTCCAGTTTTACCAGCAGTTTCAAGGCCTGATCATCACTAGTCAGTAGGTTGACTGTCAGGGTCTGTTTTGCAGGTGTTGTCGTTGGACTGTTGTACATTTTGTGTTTGAGTAGTCCATTAAATGCAAACTCAGCAAACATGGTGTACATCTTTAAGGTCAAGGTGAACTGGATACTATCCTTTCCATGGCCAAAGTGTATCGAAACGGAATGTTTTTTCGAGTTTCAACACGCCAGTATTTTTTTACGGGAGAACAACAAATCAGGGTAATAAACGGAATGAAATATGAGCTCTCAAAACACTGGACTCTTTTCCTCTTAGGAGTGCTGGACATTTATGACCATTTTGGTCATGTTTATTGATTATTATATTCAAAAGTTATATATGTGAGGTGAGGTGAAATGGGGTTTAATGTTGCATCCAATATTATTGTACTTATGTAGCAACGTACATGCAAGTGTGTGTGCGTTGCATGCGCGCGCGTGCGCTTTTACAAGTCCAGACTAATGCAGAGATACTATGCCGCAATTTGAACATGAATACCCCACTCAAAGTATACTGACTCCGAGCTGACCAGTCCATGTGTTAGACCCTTAATGACGAACACCAGGCAGGGTAACAACAATTACCATCTTTTAACGTCTTTTGGTATGACGAGGCTGGGGATCTACCACTAAATCACCGAGGCAGAAATGTGTCATTGGACCAAGGAAAGCTGTATGTTATGAATTACCGTGTGTTGGCTGAAACTATGAGACAGGATGTCTGTAATGGCATGATAGGGAAATCTTTATGACAAAATGAACCAGCAAAAAAAACATAGTGGAACTTTGTTACGTTTAATCATGGATTGGTTGATCTCTTGAAAAAACGTAATGGCGTTTTGAAAACCAATTTTTTTCCCTACATCATAAAATACAATGTGGTTGTCCTATCGTGATAACATGTGCTTGAGTGAGTGAGTTATTATTTACGTTACATGGGCAATATATCAGCCATATAGTGATGTGATTAAAACTGACATTCCAATATATTAAGAAGAGAATATATGGATGTCAACTTCTTTATTACGAGGAACACAGTGTTTCGGGGTATATGCTTACTCCTTCATCAGTAAGCATATACTCCGAAACATTGTGTTCCTCGTAATAAAGAAGTTGACATCCATATGTTCTCTTCCTTGTGTGTATCACTTCTAAATGCCTTTCAAAGACCTTCCAATATATTGTGCAATGTTGTTGAATATTTCATTAATACTACTGGTATTGTTGTTGTGACTGAGAACAAAGTTCATACAAACAGGACAAAAAATTCTGTAAGATTAGTGAGGATTATTAAAATGAAAGTTATGGGGTAATTTGATTTTAAATATAACTATATGACGCTTGAAATTATTAAAACTTGTTCTTGTCAATATATGGCTGAAACAATGCTGTGGTGCAGCAATGATGTTAAATATTTTTTTTAAAAACTTCCTTAGAAAAAGTTAAATACTTTTAATACACACTCGCAGACATCTTTAATTTGGGTCACTCAGAAATAAAGTGCTACCATGCAATGTTATACTGTTGCCCAAGAACTGAAGATATTCATTATGATTGTACATTGTTTATATTTTGTTACTAATCTACAAGGATTACAATATTACTTTCTTATTTTTACTGTCAAACCAAGAATTCAAAAAATTCTTTTTATTATTTTCTTGTTCAAGTAATTTCAAACCCTTTCAGCATAAAACCAGACAATTTCATCCCTGTTCACAAAATTTTAGTGTAGATTATCTCTGTCCAGTCAATGATCAATTATTTATTGTTATTTTAGTCATGTTAGATGAAGTAACTTATTTGGAATAATATATACCAATATCTATTTATTTTCTGTATAAAAGTCGAGTTGTTGCCTTGGGCAGGTTGGGTCCCTTTGTACAAAGCCACTGTAGTGCTGTCTGTCGTCTATGGTAAAGTATAGGAGTTACGATAGTCGCAGAACTACAACTTTCGTAAGTCTATGGTAAAGTGTAGGAGTTAAGATAGTTGTAGTTGTACAATTGCGCTGTAAAACAGGGCCCTATTGTAAGTGTTCTTCCAAGACCAAACTATGTATACACTTTGTGTTTACGGATGTTGCTAGGATATTCATAACGTGAGGATGGTCAAAACAATAAACAAATTTGTGTTGCATAATAAATTTATTTATTGGAGTTCTTTTTGTCGGTTGGTCTAGTGGGAAAAAATAAATGCTGTTTAAAGTGCAACATGATCATATTAACATTCTTGGTATGAGAATTGCATTGACCAGACTACATACAATACACTTAATATATCAAATATTATTTCAAAAGATTACTTTTAATTTATGTTTTTGAAGCTGATTTTTTATATTTCAATCCATAATAGAGCAGTTAGGTTAAAATAAAAGAAGCTGTTTTTATTTTCTGATTTTGGCTTTGGTTTCCGGGCAGTTGTATTCGTAAACCAGAAAATATGGGCAGCCCAAAAAGGTGTATGCATTGTTCTCTAGGTGAACTACTGGATCTTGTTGCTGTCAGTGTTTGTTGTCTTTCTTATGAACCTTTCAACCCAACCTTGCTGTAATATGTCCGAAAAGGTGTTTAAGTTGGTTCATTAAGCTGATAAATACATGCTGGGTTTTCCCATTTAATGACACAATGTCAACTGAGATGCAGTTAAACGTTGATGGTACTGCAGCCCAGTTTGTACTTTGAGATTATGAATAATGCCTGGAATCTGTTCCAACAAGAGGTCTTGTCATATAATGACAATTATTTTTCTATTCATATGTATCATGTGTATAAAGCCATGAAGTTTTTCACTACATACTAACAAGACAACAAGTTTTCAGTTGCCTGCGTGATTCCAAGTTTCTCAGTTGTTTACAATAAATAAATTTTAACATTCACCTTATTTGTTTCGTCTTGAGAAGAAGTTGCATCCTCATTCATCAAGGGAGTCTCTTGATTGAAGTCTTTATTAAAGAAGAATGTAGGCCATCGGCCCATGTTCACAATGGTGGTCCATTCATTACACATTAAAATAGACTGTGGTTCCATTCGCCACCATAGCAGTTTCAGGCCTGACCCGTGAAGATCCAGGGTATAATAGATCTAACGGGATCAGGTGGTCATGCTTGCTGACTTGGTTGATGCATGTCATTGATCCCAAATGCGTGGATTGATGCTTATGATATTAATCACTGGATTGTCTAATCCAGACTTGATTATTTACAGACCGCGTCATAGCTGGAATATTGCCCAGTGCGGCGTTAAACAACAAACCAACAACGTTTCTGGTCAACGTCCATCCATTCGAATAATACCCATGAGCAGGGGATATCCTGTGATGTCACTTGTGTGTCCAGGGGTCTGTTCCACAAAGCAATCCTAGAGCTGAGGTGAACAAAACTCCCACACTTTAACTTACAATTGTCATAGCCCTAAGATCGCCTTGGGGTACAGGGCCCAGGTTCTTCATCGAAATTGACCCCAATGGGGTGTTATGTACATTGTAACTACCCTGTATGTGCACATGTCAAGCCTGAAGGAGTCAGTTTAGATGAGACAGAAGTAAGCCTTAGTTCAGGGTTGAGCATTATTGTGGGTGATATGGAATCAATGCTTGATACTCGGTGATAGGCCGACAATTGTTGGCCAATGACTAAAACTGGATCGGGTGGCCAGGCATTGTGGACCATTGTACCAGCTTTCAATCACAGATTAAGATAATAGCGGATTTATTTAAGAAATAAACGACAAGTGGGGGTTGTATACTGTACAATAAACAACTCACACTCGTCGATTTCTTTTATATGAGATATCAACATTATGTTCAGCCTCCAAAAATATGTTGACAAAATGTGCAAGCTTTAAAAATGGTTACCTTAATTTTCTCCCTGAATAGTGGGACAAGTCCATTTGATGAACAGTTGGGTTAAGTTTGGCTTTCTTGAATATTTCATGTGGATTGTACCTTTCTCCTCATATCGATTGGCATATCTCGACCACTTTTGGATGCAATCAGCCACTGCATTTATCTGTGTAGCCCAGCTTGGGAACAATTCACTAGAAATTTCCCTCTAAAAAATAACATTGTCCAAGATGTGACGTCATCAAGATTCGAATCTCCAGAAATGACATCAAGATAGAACAATGTTTTATCATGAAAAAAACACACGCTTTGTTCTTCATTGTCTTTGCAATTCATCATGTAGCTATCTTATATAGAAACATAATCAGAGTTGACAGTTCACTGCAGCAACGGGACTTGGCCACCTGTGTCAACATTTGTATGATCTTGACGAAGAACCCTACTTTGACTAGTTGCAGCTTTACTTTATATGTTTGAAATAAACTTATAACCATAAGCGTAGCACTTTGGTCCAGCTGACTGCTACTCCCTGATATATTTTTGTATGGAACAATTTGACTAATCACCCGTCAATGCTCCAGCGCACCAAGACTTATCTACCCGTGACCCTGGTGTAGGTATTTTACACGTTTGTAAGATCTTGACAAAGAACCTTACTTAGACCATTCCGGGATTCGAACCCATGTACCCTTGCAGCTAAAGGTTTTGGGGTCACAATGTGGCATCTTAACCACATAGCCCCACTTAATTTCAAGACATCAGGGCGGCCGGGTAGCCTAGTGGTTAAAGTGATTCCCGACATGGGTACAATGTGTGAAGGCCATTTCTGGTGTCCCCCCAGCCGTGATATTGCTGGAATATTGCTAAAAGCGGCGTAAAACCATACTCACTCACTTCAAGACATCATCATGACACATTTGCATATAGGTATTTATTTGGTAACATAAAACAGTTGCCATCGTAGACAAAACAAAACGGGAAAAAATAATATCAACATGACAGCAATAGCATCATCATAGCCATCACATTCATCCTGTTACCATGGTTACATTGCTCTTGGGAAGACTACTTGTGGGACTGAGGTCCATGACTATCTCTAATAATGCCCTGCCACAACCACTGACCTCATATATACATGCATACACATTAAATATTACTGAACACAATTCAGTCATATTTGTAATGAAATAACCACAGCTGGTTTGTCTTCTAATGACTTCTTCACAGACAATCTGCTACTTGAGAGAACACACAGTTTCATGTGTCTCATTGCAATCTCATAAAAACGCTGAGAAATGTACATTTGGAAGTTGAAATTTAAAACTGCTTTGTAGTGATGGAGAAAACGGGAATATGTATCAAGAAATTTCACAGCTGTAAAGTAATTGCAAGACGTTTGATTGTGTACAATGGTGTAACCAAGAAATGATTTTAAAATTGGTTTGTTGTTTTACGTCCCACTCAGCAATATTCCAGCTATATGACAGCGGTCTGTAAATAATTGAGTCTGGACCAGACAATCCAGTGATTGATATCATGAGCATCGATCCACGCAATTGGGATAGATGATATGCTTCAACCATGTCAGCGAGCCTGACCACCCGATCCCATTAGTCGCCTCTTACGACAAGCATAGTCACCTTTTACGGCAAGCATGGTTTGCTTGATCTTAAAAATTAGGCCACCTAACAAGTAGATTACTTTACTTTCGCTGCTTGTGTATTGCGCTGAACAATGTCACTAAGTTTCATATCGTCTACAGTTTTCCTAACCACAGATGTTTTATTAAATAAGCAGTCTGTGACGTGTGTGCTTCTCTCACTTACAGTGTGCACATTTTACATGTTTATATGTTCCACAAAAGCAAACAAATATTGAAGTCAAACTTGCATTTTTAAAACATTTGTCAATCATAGCTGTTCCCTTACTTCTTTTCGTCAGTATTTAACACATCGACAGTCAATTGGAAACTTCAGGAGAACGCCAGTGTCAAGTAAGCATGCATATACCCGGTTACTATTTATACAAGTTCATCTTGTACCGAGTAGGACTAGCATCCCACAAATCTCGTTTCAGACATTATGCCTTGATTGGTGGACAGATGTAACACTACTTAAGTTTTGTCCTCATACAAGCAATACTGTTTGGATTGTCTGCAAAATAGATGAGTTGGATTGTCTGCAAAATAGATGAGTTGGTCCAATATGAAAATCTTATTAAACAGTCTGTACTGAGTCCACAAGCCCCTACTTGCCATTCCAAATCTTTTTAACACATTTTGTCCACAAAGTTTCAGAATTCACAAAATTTACAAGATTTAAAGCGTTCATTCTCCAGTAAACCATCACAATGTGAGATTCACTTCTTAATTGAGTGAGTTGCGTTTAATCATTTAATGCCACTTTTAACAGTATTCCAGTTACATCACGGCATGTCAGCTTAATGTGGGAGGAAAGCCCGAGGCGATGCAGGTTTGGACGTTTACCACTTCGGTGAAACGCACGAGCACAGGTATGGTGCTGACAAACCTAGAAACATAATCGGGGCGAACCCGGATTCAAACCCGCAATCATAGGTTTCTGGAGTGCCCAAGGGACGCAACTCTGCACAGCGAATCGCAGCACCTTAGACGACTGGGCCACCCTTGCCCCCTACTTCTTAATTGAAGGCTCCCAAAATTCAATGCTATGTAAACTAAACATCATGTAAACTTACTGCCATTTGCCTGTGATTATCCCCATCCGTTTAAGTTTAATATTAATTCGGGCATATCAAGTATTACGGAAGACAATATCTAGAAGGGAGATAACTCCTTGGTTACTGACAATAAATAAAAATAAATAGATACAATCTGAATTTGAGGACTTGCCAAGATCGGCAATTAATCAGTATAATTAAATTCAAGGCCATTTCAAGCTTGCGTGGACTGTGTACAACACTAAGAAGTTTCAATCCTGGGCCCACTTGCACAAAGCGATCTTAGTGCTAAGATAATCGTAACTCCCATACTTTAACATAGGCTTACGATAATGTTAGCGCTAAGATGGCTTTGTGCAAGTGGGCCCTGGGTTTCAAAGTAGTGGTGACAGACTGAATGAACTTATTATGACATTGTTACCAGTGTCTAAGAGGCTGTGCAAACAGCTACAGGGTTGATATTACCATGATTCAACATAAGGTACATTAAATTAATTGCTAGATTATCATCCCTGCCCAACTCACAACAACCCCCCCCCTCCAACAAATTAGTTTTATTTGCCCGAGTGAAATGTTTAGAGCAATAGAGCATGGTAACATCAGCTGTCAAACAGCCATATCATCTTTACAACAAGCCGTAAACTGGTGCAAACTATTAAAGACTGGCACACCTGTCCTTGGCCAGAGTTATGACTCTTCAACAAGTTCACTTGTGGAGAACTTGACAAGTTGATATCAATTGGACATAAATTCATAAACAAACTAGTACAAGTTGGGAAAACGAAATAGGTCTGACACAGATACATCAGACTGCTACTATTGAAAGCAATGTTTATTCATTATCTTCGTTATTTCAGTCACCTATTGTTCATACCAAGGTGTCCAGTCTTGACGACTTTAATAGAAAATAAAAAATAAAAAGCCTCCCTCCCCACTTTTGAAAAAAACAAACCGTTTGATAATCTAGCAATTAGTTTCCTATGGCCTAAAACATCTGTACAGATCACAACACGGAATATACAGGTCACAACACGCTATGTACAGATAAGGACACAGTATGTACAGAAAGTTAGAGGCTCACAGATTTAGATACATACATGTATTACAGCATCAGTCTCTCATCAACCTCATGGACTGAAACTACTTTGGTAAATATAAAAATTCATTTATAGAATCTATTAAGCTTTGTGTGTGCATTATGATTATGCTTTGGTAAATAAATATTGTTGACTATAATAACCATAAACAATTCATGAATAACAAACAGATTCAATTTCTACAGTGCACTACTTTCACAAAGACTTCACAAACATCATAGGTTATTGCACACATGCAACTCTCTAAATATTTTTTAAATATTCAAAAGATTTGAACTCAACATGAACTAGAACCCAACAAGAGAAGGAAGACCTAGCAACAGAGGGGAGTCCATACACTGTCAACCCAGGAAACAGAATACCCTTCAACCGCATCACAAAACTAACTACCGTACTTGACGTAATAAGCGCCCCGCTCTAATAAGCGTCCACGGCGATATTTGCTAATATATTTGCTAGTGAACAATCTCAATTAGCACCCCTTCCGATTGATCAATGTACACAAGACTTATTTATTTGTGTATAATATGCACTCGTGTGTTATATATACCCTTAATTATGGGCAATTAAATGCTGGAAAAATATATCTGTCGTATATAAACATTTCAGGCTGTCAGCATAAACCACAAAATCTACGATCTTTCAACTCTGATTTTTTCACCAAAATACCATTCTGATAAGAGCCCCCTAGTTCTAATTTTGAGAGCGCCCTGGGTGCTTATTACGTCGAATACGGTACATGTACCGTAAATCCTTGAATGAGAGTCGGAGGACTCTTTGCTTTTGAAAGGTCCTTATCATTGCAGCTAGCGATAGGAACTTATTGTTATCAGAGAGACAGTGCATCAATCCTTGTAACATATTTCAATGTATCTTCTTGTTTCACCATTTAAAGGAATGGGAAAAAAATTAAATAATGGAATAAAGAAATAATTTCCTAATCAGGCCCTAATACAAGGTAGGCATTAAATTTGACCCAGGGCTTATTCACAGATTTGAAGACAGTTGAGGGCCGAAATGAAACTGTTTACCCATTGGCAAAGTGTGATGTAGTAGATGAAATACTATTTAAAGGGAGTTTGGGGTCAAATGGCATTCAGCAGGTTTGATTCAAATCACTAAACAGTTTGCCTGTAACCTGAAATTCTGCCTGTTATCATTGCTGTAGCCATTATGACCTACAGATCCGAGAAATATCACAACTAACATGAGTTCTAAGCAAGCCATCTTTGTCAAACATTACAAAAAAACACCAAAAATCACTACCTACTGACCCATATCAGTTGGTCCTATATTACATATACCCTAAAGACCTTTTTTTCCCTTTTTCTTGGCCTCAGACCATGAACACCTAAACTGAGCTTTTAGCAATATTCCAGCAATATCACGGCGGGGGACACCAGAAAATGCGTTTCACACATTGTACACATGTGGGGAATCGAACCCGGGTCTTCGGCGTGACAAGCCAACACTTTCACCACTAGGCTACCCGACCATCCCTATACCTAAACTGAATATTGGAACCAGAGTGTGGACTGTACAACCAACCCCTTTGACTCCTACAGGACAAACGAGTTCCCTTTGACAGTTGCAGCAACATATATTTGAACACGTGTCAGTTTGTACATTTCAGCTATTATAACAGGTTTGGATCACAAGGGCTATTCCTCTTTAACACAGAGTAGTGCTATTTCCTTCCTCTTGTTCTCTATCTCCAGACTTTGTTCCTAAGCAAGATTAATCACTTTGGGCTTCAAACGGAAGTGATGTTGTTTCTGATGCCAAACTATGGTAGACCTGAAAAGTGAATGAAAAGAGATTTCATTTCAACGTACTGTAACATAAACTATGGTCATAAAATACAATCGTCCATCCAACATCTTAATCATGTTAAAGGAAAGATCATGTAAAGGCCCAAATACCCGTAACATATGTCCTTATACCCCCATCACACCAAACTAATTTCTCAATACATTCGTGAAAATGTTGTTGAACGGGCTCCAACTGTATATGAACGTAGTAGCAAGTCTTTTTACGAACTTCATGGACGGGCTCAGACGGAGAGGATGCTCTAGAACTTTGAGTCTGCTCAAAATTTTATCCTGTCCATCTCGTTCTGCAATTTGTCAGATTGACAACGTACGTAAAACGAGAAAGACGTACAACCAACAGAATTGCCGTACTTCGAACCTACTAGGGATGTGTTACGACGTGGTGCAGTCGGACATAAATTTCAGTACGTGTGCACACCGACCAGGTCGACTTCTCTTTGGAGGCATGATGTGTACAGGTCAGAGCTGTACAGGTCAGAGCTCTGAACCTGAATGAAGACTGACTACAATGCGCTCCATAGGAGTCGGGCCAGGACAGGCCAGAATGCAAATACAAACGCACTTGGGATGAGATGAAGACGTACTGCGAACGAGTTGGTCAGGTTAAGAATTAGTTAGAGCTGGCTTGGACATATTGTGAACGAGGTAGAACGAGGTTGAACTGGTTAAGAACGGATTGACAACGGCTATGGACGTGCTCGAACGGCTTCGAAACGTTGTCGGGATGAACAGGCACTTTTACACGATGCGAACTCGATACGAATGGACTGCAGACTGGCCAAGAACGAGATAAGAACGAGATAGACGTATTGAGGACTGCTTATGAACGAACTAGCATCGTATTTTACGCCAAACTACCCGTTCTACTGTGATCACAGTCCATTCTAGTATATTTGTTTTAGAACGGAGTAGAACGGGATAGAACAACTTTGGTGTGATGGTAGCATTATCAACAGCCAATTAGGTTAAATTTAACAGATACAATTTTGAAAAAATTGATGGACCCAGTACAAATCTAAATTGACCTTACACTTGTGCATAGTTAAACTTCACTTGCCTTAACCAAATTTTTTCCATTTCTTTTCAAACTATTTTGGAGATGTTTATGATTAAACAAATCACTGGGCGACCTTACATATTATTGTATGCTAGCCCTAGTTATACTAAATCCCTGTCCTTCACTGTCTAAGCAGTAGGGCTGGTTAAAAAGATCGATAATCAGAAGTATCGTCAATGGGAAGAAATATTAAAGATTATCGATAAGAAACTGTTGTCATTGATAATAATTTACATAAACTTTTGTGATAAAATAAAACTTAGATTTACTGAAACAGAGTTGTCATTGCTGACAATGTCAATTGTAAAAGACTGAGAGCAACTGTTTCTGTTGCAGCTCAAACGTCCACAGTGTAACCATGCACAAATGTGTCACTGCTCACCAACATCTTGCCGAGGCAAGAGATTTATCTGACTTTAAAAGTCCAGTTTCCACCCTTGCCGAACTAGGCTGGAATTCCTGGGCTCGATCATAGCGCCACCAGTGGCTATTACGAGTTATGTCCTTTCTAAACCTCTACTATGGACCAAACAGATTCCACCTCTCGTATCACTTGCGTTTGCTTCACACAAAATGGTGGCGCCCAGTCAGGACGATCTGATCGATAATCAAGTTCAATATCGTGATAAAACGGGTCTTACATCGCGAAATGCATCAAATCACGTGAGCACCTTGATTAAAAACATGAAAAGATTTAGAAAATATCTGCTGACAACGAGTTAGTGGTGCAAATGATTTGCGAATCCTGCAGTCGACCGAAATCTGCACCACAGTTTACGAACCGGATTTCGATGTGCAATTTTTATTGGACTATGCATAGACTCTTTGGTCTAGCCAAAATGTAACTCCATAATACCAGCCTGTTTCAGCAAGGGTGGGAAACTGGACTTGTATAGTCAGTTTACTCTCTTGCTTCGGGAAGATGCTCACCAATGGCATGGAGGATGTTGATTAATTGATTAAAAAATGAAAACATTTGGAAAGTATATGCTTATCAAATCCTGCAATATACCGAATTCTACAAAGCAGTTTGTGAACTGGATGTCAATTTCGTTACGCGATTTGATTGGACTATGCAGAGACTCATTAGTCCAGCTTAAAGATATCTCCATAATTCCAGCCTAGTTCGGCAAAAGTGGAAACTGGACTAACTCTCTTGCTAAGTAAGGATAAGAATTTATAGATGAACAACTTCTTTATTACAATTAAGAGCGACGTTTTGGTGTAGGTTCTAACACCGTTATCAAAGAAGTTGTTCATCCATAAATTCTTATCCTAACTTAGTACTCCAACTTCTAAATGCCTATCAAAGAAGTAACTCTCTTGCCTCAGGAAGGTGCAGCACCATTGGCTTTCCTTGTCTAAACTCTACCATAAGCTCGCTTCAAGAAAAGGTTCCAGAAACAACAACTCAGTCATAAGTATATCTTAACCTTGCATTAATCATTGTCAAAAGGGGCAAATCTTACCTTGGGTAGGCAGTAAGATCACAGTAATAACACTTGAAGATCTTGGGTTGATGCTTGTACGAATGGGTATACATTGACTTCAGGTTTCGTATGGTGTAATCACATTTTAAGCACTCATATAGCACTTCTCCATAATCATCCCGCGTCTCCTTGAACAACTCATGGGACTTCTTGACGGTCATGTCCTCAGGAGAAGCAGGCAGGTCCTTGGGAGAATCAGATTTCGTGTCACAAAGGTCTTCAGAAGAAGGAACTTTCTTGGACCCCACGTCTTTAGGGCTTACACAGTTTTTCCCAGTCTTGATAGTTTGGGATGATGGAGCTATAGATGTGCTGCCAACAGCTGTTGAGTTCCCGTCTGTCTGTAGATTGGTGTTCGAAGAGTTGTTTCCCACGGTTACGTCAGAAGCTGACAGAGGTTGACCCTGACAACCATCTCCAGCAGGATGCAATGCTCCTTTAACACCAGCATGCTTCTTCTTCACTTTCTTAGCTTTCCCACTGAGGTCTTTTCTCTTCAGTTCTTGTCTGTATTTCTGGGACAGGTCTATCGACCTCTGTAAAAGTAACTTCAGTCTTTTTTCTTTATGTGGATCTTTTTCCTCCCTGGCTATGACTTCCTTCCCAGGATGAACCTTCTCTATGTGTTTCTGCACACAGTACATTGATGCGGACTGCAGGTCCTCACAGTAGCTACAATTCAGGGGCTTGTAATGAATATGGTAGCATATCTCTATCACAAGCTTCGTCCATACCATTAAGGATCTGTTTGTTCGACAGTATGGACACAAGTAGGATCCTTCATTTTCAGCTTTGTTCGTCGACTTCACAGAACTATTTTTGATTGTTTTCAACTTGGTCTTTGCAGTCTTTGCCGTCTTCGCAGTCTTTGCCGTCTTCACAGTCTTTGCTAGTTTATCTGATTGCAAATTTGATGTCTTCACTTTGTCCTCCCTGTTCTCTAACTTAATTTTCTTTTTCTGTAATTGTCTTTCTTTCTTCATCATGACACGTCGCCTCAAACTGACATCCTCAACATGTTTTGGGATGAAACAAATCATTGCGGTCTTTTGACACCTTGCCTCCATTTTTTCATTCTCAACCCTCTTGACGACAGGTTTGCTGGCTTTCTTTGGATGGTCTAACTTGATGTGTGTCAGTACACGGTTATGTGAAAACGCTTTGAAATCACAAAAGCCACAAGCGTATGGCCTATAGTGAAAGTGATAGTAGGTATGATGGAGAAACTTCTCTAAAGAACCTCTTCTGTAGGTGCAGTATTTACATCGGAACTCATACGAAGGATCATCAAAGTCCACTTGAGAGAAGGTGAGATTTGGCCCTGTGCCCTCTCCTTGTACTTTGATGGGAGACGGATGTTTCATTGGCAATGGAGTCCCAACAGGAGATTTCTCATCAACAGGTGCCTGTTCTTTTTTCGGAGTCTGGTGACTTGTTGGAGACGGATCCATTTCCACATTCATTTCTCCAAAGGAAAAGAGATTTTCCTTCTTGGGAGATTGGTACTTTATGGGGGAAGGTCCTTTCACTGGAGATTGGTACTTTATGGGGGAAGGTCCTTTCACTGGAGATTGGTACTTTATGGGGGAAGGTCCTTTCACGGGAGATTGGTACTTTATGGGGGAAGGTCCTTTCACTGGAGATTGGTACTTTATGGGGGAAGGTCCTTTCACTGGAGATTGGTATTTCAAGGATGGTCCTCTCAGAGGAGATTGGTTTCTTTGGTGCGAGGGTTCCAATGGAGATTGGTATTTTTTAGGAGACAATAGAGCAGGAGATATGGGGATCCTCAGAGACACTTCATGCACTGCAGATGAAGTTCTACCAGGTGATGCCTGTTCATCATTACATGAAGGAGGGCACTCAGCATTTACTTCCCGTGGTAACCTTCTTTCTGTTTGATCCTCAGGACCTTGTTGAACACCATCAAACTCTTCAAGTGTATAATCATCAGGTTGATAATCATCCTCCGACATCTCTTGCTGGACCATATCTGCTTCCCCAGAAAAACTTTCCATTTCTTCTTGACACCTGTCATGTTTTGTCCCCTCCTGGGACATTTCTTGTGTCTCCAAGCGCTGCCTTTTCCTTTTACCTTTATTTGGCATTGTCAGACGGCGCCTCTTTCTTGAGCGGTGGATCTTAGGCTTTACCACAGGAGCCCCAACCTCTTTGCTGACACTAACTAGGGAGACACTAGGCTTCTGGCAACCACTCACAATGGATGTGGTCATTTTTCTTTCGTTTATAATCTTATTCAGAATCCGAGACTCAAATGATGTCAGTTTCAATTTGTCCCCTTCCTTAGCTTCACTTAATCTTGCCATAAGATTGCTGGTCACATCTTCCACGGGGTCTATGGATGTAGAAGTATCATCTCCAATCTCAAATTGAACTGAAGGACTTTTGTACACAGACTTCTTCATGTATCTGATGTTGAATCCATGGCGGAGGGCGCTAGGGATGTAGTTCTCATCAGCATCAGGATGATACTTGACATGATGTCTGATGACGTCATCCTGACACAGATAGCCATGGCACTCCGAGCACTGGAACATGTCTTCGATCTTGTGGACTTCACGAATATGCTTGTAAATCTGACCCACAGATGTTGTATAGAAGTCACACTTGCTACACGCATTGACTCTCTGAAGGGATTTGTCTTTCTTTGAGGCTGAAGATGGTGACACAAATCTTTCACTCTTCTGGACCGTTTCATCCCTTTCAGTTCCACTCTCAATTTTGCTTTTAAAAGTTGTAGAATCCTTCTCCACTGGACTGTTCCTTTTTGAAACAGGATGATCTGAATCTATGTCATCTTTCTCTAAATGTTCCTCTGTTACAGCACCATCACAGTCCATTTCCTCTAACTCTGATTTAACATAAGACAAATTTGCACCTCTTGGCGCAGTGTCAAGGTCAGACAGACTTGTGGCACATCTAGTCCGATCTAATACAGGCATTTCATCACAAAGTTGATCATTTCCTTCCGAATAAGCCTCTAACACAGGCATTTCATCACAATGTTGATCATGTCCTTCCGAATCGACCTCAGTCTTGATCCTCTGAACAGAAATTCCACTCTCAGAATCCCTGACGGACATAATCGGAACATACCCATCCCTACAAGCAGAAGGGGACTGAAATATTGACACGTCCTCACTCATTCCATCAGTCAAGTCTACCTTTTGAAACGACTCGCTTCTTTCGTCACCTTCCACTACAGACCTATTGTTATCCTGAGTAACTGAACTCGAACAAACTGATCTATTTGTACTCTGAGCCCTGCCGTTGTTTCGCAACATTGGCCAACTGTTTCTTAAGCGTTCCCGACACACAATTTGCCTGGAGACAGTCACTAGTTTCCCTTTATCAGGATGGAACTCGTTCATGTGTCTGACAATATTCCTTTTGGTCACATCCTTGGCTGAGCAGTGAGGGCATTTAACAATATTGAGAAAATTTGCTTTCATATGGATAAGCATGTCCAGTGCAGTCTGAAACTGCTCCCCACAGAGCAGACACAAATGGGGGCCTTCCTTTTCATGATAGTGATAGATATGCCTGGTGAAGCTGTCCGGATGTCCAGTAACAAACTTACAGTGGGAGTAGTTGCAGTGGAAGTTGGAGTTCTGGTCAGCATGGTGATGCAGATGCTTAATGAGCAGCTGAGCCGAAGTTGCAATATCTCCACAATGAACACACAGGAACCCCTCGGCCTTGGCATGCATGCTGTGGAGATGATCCTCAAATTCTGACGGACAGACACTACTATGTTCACATTCACCTACACAGCACTGATAGAAAGCTTTTTGGCACAGAACACTCAATAGATTAGTATTACAATTAGGTTTCACTCTTGGATTCAATTTCACAGATGGAGATATAATGGCCTTCCTTGGCTCAGGTTTGGGAGGTGTATCAGCTTCAAATGCTTCAAAGGGTGCAACTCTTTCCGATACCACTTCCACAACACAAGTTGAAGTTTTGGGGCAATCCCTGAGAGAAAATGATTCCAAAATCTTAATGTCCGGAGTCACAGGCTCAAGAGGGCTTTTGATTTGACCTTGGAGAGTTTCAGCTACTCGGAGAGCTGTTACTGGAATTTTGCTGGAATCAACACCAGGTTCTTCAACTGATTCAATGATCACTGAATCTGGTGTACTGGCCCTAGACAATGTATTCAGTAACCTGAACCTGCCTGCCTCATCAGCTCCATCACCACCTGCACCAGGCTTCTTGTAAGATCGGTCCACAATATATCCCACAACCTCAGAAAGCTTTTTATTGACAGTTTGTGGTACAAGAAGTCTTGTGTGGTGCTCTTCATCACCAATAGCTGAAGACGAGGTTTCTTTGTGAGTAACACCATCACCAGCATCTTCAGGAGGCAACATTGTCTGCCTCATCATCTGGGTGTACTGTCCTGCTGCATATTTGTTTCGTTTCTGAATGCCCTGATCTGATGAAGGTATTTGTGTCTCGTACAATCTTTGCATGCTTTCCACTGAAAGTCTTTTTTGTGTTTCACAAGGCGGATTAAGCAACCTTGGAGATAAACCATTACTTGGACATTGATGTGTCTGTGGGACGTTTTGTGGATGATGATGTGTTGTACGTTGCGGAGAAAAAACCTGATTTACAGAACCTTGTGTGATGGGTGACGATTTGCTTCGGTTCAACATAGAATCTATGAATGTAAAGAAATACACGAATCACAAAGAATACTATAAAAAATAGCACAAAACAATTATGTTTTGAAACAGATTCCATTTGGAGTGTAAAAGGCAAAATGGTAGCAAAAATTATATGAATGGGTCACTGCATTATCACTAAAATCAGATTTTACTTCCGCTACACCTAAACAAAGGTCTGAGGTCATCCCATTACAGGTCAGAGACATCAGACATCCTCAGATAATGTCTTCAAGTTGATGAAACATTTCGTTTTTTAAAACCTACAGCTGGACATTTTGTGCAGTTGGAAAAAACATGACACTTAAGTTAAGGGCTCGAAAAACATCCACTCGTCTGCTTGTAGTGACCAGTGGCAGCATGTGCAGGGCGAGAAAGAGTGAGTGAGTATAGTTTTACACCGCTTTTAGCAATATTCCAGCAATATCACGGCGGGGGACACCAGAAATGGGCTTCACACATTGTACCCATGTCGGGAATCGAACCCGGGTCTTCTGCGTGATGAGCGAACGCTTTAACCACTAGGCTACCCGGCCGCCCCGGGCGAGAAAGAAATGAACAAATGCTTGAGTATATATTTCAATCGTATCAATTTATCTCAAATTGTTTCCACTAAAATATGCAGGATAACTTCAAATTTCGTATATCTTGCATGTTCTTAGTAATAATAACAAAATGCATGTCGCTCATATCATCGACAGCATACTTGACAACTGTCTGATAAAGAAATATATCAAAACAGAAAGTGTGTTTGGCAGCAGGTCTTGAAACAAGTTCTTAAAAAGGAGGTAATGATATTTATCATTTTTTATGTAAGCGACTCGCAATCTCAGATCGCAGGAGAACATCATATTAGAGCACGACCTTTCATCTGTCAAGTCAGAGTGTCGCTGACCAGATTGGGATAGTGATAGTCTGAATGTGTTTTTTAACAGCAGTAGAAACTAATTTTTTTAGTCCACTAGTCCTTATAATGATAACATATAGCAAAACCCTTAAAAATGGCAAATTTTAATAGTCCTTATGATACCTTAACAATTGGGCACTTTGGCAAAAACTACAGGACTAGTGCCAATTTCTAACACTGTTTTTTATCCATAAAACCTGGTAAAGGTTAACAATACACCAACTGTGCAATCCAACATGGATCATGATACCTTTGTCACTATCCAATACGTATCACGATGTTTGCATGTGCTCTTATCTGTGGTCGGTAAGCCATATTTCTCATTGACAGGATGGCCAAATACCTGCCACACTGATGATTTACAGTTGACAGCATCAAGCATGGCGCAATTGATGAAAAGATTTACAACTTATTTTCACTACTTAGCCTTAAGTGTAACTGTTATCAAAGCAAACATTTGTGCGATAGTGATCGATATTTGTATCAAACAGTAAAAAATCACAATCCACCAACCTTTGTTTAGTGGTAACGAGGCCTAAGATCTAAATTTTAATGAGAATGAAGCGACACCTTACCGATGCTCAAATGTCAAAGTGAATGTGACTGATTTAGAGAAAAAAATGATGACATACAGAAGTTTTAATCGGGGAAAGTGGGGGATGTGAAAATGATTGGATTACCAAAAAAAAGGAAAATTTTGCAAAAACGGTATGACTTTTCAAATGGAAACGAAATTTGCAAGACGCATGGGCAAAGATAAACATTGATGGCAGTGACTGAATAATATTGTACTTTCTGTCGTTAATATCCTCAACTCAACAACTGAATTTGAACATAGATGTACAACAGTAAGTTGTATATACACATACAAAATAAATAATGCATTAATAGACAGATTCAATCTGTGTCTCTACACCAGTAGAAACTAACAGTTTTAGCCCACTAATCCTTATAATGATAACATAAACCGAACCATGAAATAGGCAAATTTCTACTAGTCCTTAGGATACCTAACTATTGAGCAGTTTGGCAAGGACTATAGGACTAGTGCCAATTTCTAACACTGCTCTACTGACAGTGACGGTCAACATTCTACAATTTAGTCAAACCTTTTCTGATATCGACCTGCCCTAAGGAAGTCATTTACCAATAGGTTTCATTAACCTCCAGAAAAGCTTGAGTTAGGCAGCAAAACTTTCTTTCAGGCTATAACCTTGATGATGACACTGACCCTTGACATGAAAGATCATTGTGTCCTGAGCTATGCATGATATTATATCTCTAAGACGATCAACACTGATTAGTTTTAAAAATTCAGTACTATTGTAGTGATGGTCAGTCTAAGGTAAAACCTTCAAATATATCCAATTAACAAAATAATTAACTTTTCTTAAGTTGCCTGACAAGGATACTTAGTTCTGAATCCTCGACACATCCCTGGCCACTCACCATTGGTGCCATGTTGAGCTGGATACACTACTGAGGAACCTGGAGATATCAAGATGGCAGCAACGGTGGAAGAACGCTTGCTCGAAAAAGGAGACCGACCATGGCGAGTGATGGTGATGGAGTCGGTGACGACATCGGCACCATCATCATCCGAGTCAGAAAGAGTTATGGGGCAGTCTTCTCGTCCAGACATGATTGCCTTGCTTGCTTGTCACATCTGAAACAATAAGTTAGTGACCATGGTGAGTCGTGGTAGATGTCAGACGAGATGATGCCACTTATGACCTGGATCATTCTCTTCACAATACCGTTTCTTAAAATGAGAGTACTTTTATTTCGAGTAGTACAGCTCATTTCCAAGAAGCTAACCCTGTACACTCGAACGCAGCTCATTTCCTTGCTGGGTGACGATCTTGAAATTCAAGTACTCATTAGATAAGCACTTCCGTCAGAGAGCCTGACATGTACGTGTTTGTTTCTACAGTAAAGATTGTGTTTTGATGAGAAAACGGACACCTCAAGAAGTTCCTGCTGAAAATGGGTGGAAATCTTTTCCCATACCAATTTTTGAAGAGTCGTACAGCCAGGTCACTGCATAGTGCCATGCATTTTTCGTGTTGGTTTGAGAAAGTCACAAGGGTAATATGACATGAGCAATAGTCAAAAAGAAACAAACTTTTCAAGAAACTTTTTCTTTGTCTCACAAATGGATGATAATATGTGAACATATGTATCATTATAAAAATATTTTTAAACAATTCCAAACTGTAACACAAAACATGCTTCTGTAAGTCGGGCACAACGAGGGTGTCAAGCTCTTTCCTAGACCGGTTTGAGCACTTGCACTCCTCACTTGCAGCAGCTAGGAGGCGAACGGACAGGTACCTGTCTAGCTGTTTGACCTATTTCTCCATACAGCACTTCGCTGAGGTGAAACGTTGACCAGGTGACAGGCCTACAGCACTATTCAGGAGATGTTGGACAGCATGATTAATTGACGTGTCAGGCTTCAGGAGTAAACATGCAGTATGCCAAGTATTAGGAATAGGGCTGGGACGAGTCCAAATTTACTACCCGGGATAGTGAGTGAGTGAGTGAGTGAAAATCTTAATTTACAGTCTGTACTGAGTCCACAAGCCCATACTTGTCTTTCCAAATCTTTTTAACATATTTTGTCTACAGAGTTTCAGAATTCACAAAATTTACAAGATTTAAAGCGTTTATACTCCAGTAAACCATCACAATGTGAAATTCACTTCTTAATTGAGTGAGTTGAGTTTAATCATTTAATGCCACTTTTAACAGTATTCCAGTCATATCGCGGAGCGTCAGCTTAATGTGGGAGGAAAGGCCGAAGTGATGCAGGTCTCAGACGTTTACCACTTCGGTGAAACCCACGAGCACCGGTATGGTGCTGACAAACCTAGAAACATAATCGGGACAAACCGGGATTCGAACCCACAATCATAGGTTTCTGGAGTGCCCGAGGGACGCAACTCTGCCCAGCGAATCGCGGCGCCTTAGACCATCGGGCCACTACTGCCCCCTTGATGTGATAGTCACAAATGGTCTTGCTCCTTATGCAGGTAGCAAGTATCTATTTTTTTTACTTGTAAACTTTCTCCTCAAGGTTTTACACTTAAAGAAAGATTTACTGCATTCGAACTATCTTCTAAAGGGGGACAGTGTTATTTATGTGCAAGCAGTTTTAGAGTAAATATGTTTGTAGAAATAGTAGAAATGGCATCAAAGTATTGAAACACAAGTAAATAATATCAATATGCCGTGACTGAATTGGATGGATCTTTTCAGAGGGGCTTTGTACACCAGTTAGGAGGACCTGCCCCTTGTTTACAGGGACAGGCTTGATTGTGGGAGAAGTCTGGGATGGGACAGTTTCTAGAAGGCTGGCAACAAGAGGGCGATTGTGTCTTATCTACTTTCCAAGTGCAGTTTCCATACCTTCAACTTCCTTCCAGCTTCCAACACCAGCTAACAAATTTACAGTAGTCCTGTTGTCCTTGCAAAACTGCCCAATAGTTAAGGTATCATAAGGACTAGTAGAAATTTGCCATTTTTAAGGGTTTTGCTATGTTATCATTATAAGGACCAGTGGAATAAACATGTTAGTTTCTACTACACTACTGCTACACTATTCTGGGTTCCAGAGAGCAGGAAGGCGGAATGCTTGTCGTAAAAGGCGACTAACGGGATCAGGAGGTCAGACTCGCTGACTTGGTTGAAGCATGTCATCGATCCCAATTGCGTGGATCAATGTTCATGATATCAATCACTGGATTGTCTGGTCCAGACTCGATTATTTACAGACCAACGTCTTATAGCTGGAATATTGCTGAGTGCGGCGTTAAACAACAAAACAACCAACCAGGGCTGTCTCAGACATTCGACAGAAACAACATTCTGAACTTTCTCGCATGGTCATATTTACATTTCACAATTTATTTCTGCAAATACCAATTTCTGGGTTAACCTTTGAGTTTTAGGATGGAAAGCACCTCATCCCAATAGGACCTTCCAACTTGACTTTCACCTCCCTTCTACACTCACTGGGAAGGGTCTCGTGACAGATAAGCATCCCCAGGATGCAGCCTCCATCTTGACTACTGACCGGAAGTTACTGCCTTGAAGGGTTGCCTGGAGGGAAGTTGGGGTAACAGTGTGTTTCCGTCAGTATCAAACAGCTGATCACACGGAACAGTTGCAGGCTGCTATATGATAGAACAGGACCTATTTCAGTAACTATTACAAATCTGTAACCTAAATACATTCATATACATATAACAGGTATGACTTACCATTTTTCATTATTTATGCTTATAAATAATTATATGTCATGACATGTTACATCTTTATAAATGCATGTTACACTTTTCATTAACTATTTACAAATTTTATATAAAAAAACAGGCAGTGACAAATTGATAATATAAGTATTATAATGACAAATTTATAAAAAATGGGATTGGACCTTCAGAAAATAATGAGTGAGTGAGTGAGTTTGATTTTATACCGCTTTTAGCAATATTCCAGCAATATATCACAGCGGGGAACACCAGAAATGGGCTTCACACATTGTACCCATGTGGGGAATCGAACACGGGTCTTCGGCGTGACGAGCGAACGCTTTAACCACTTGGCTACCCAACTGCCCCTTCAGAAAATAATGAAAGTAAGTTAAAAAACATGTCCCATCACATCCACCCTATTCCTACTTATTAATCAGGAGTGAAATGATACACTGAGTTTTGTGAGTTTTCATGCGACGAAACGATACCAAATACCTTTTTTCGGAATCAATACAAGACAATACACTTGCTAAAAGAAATTGGGTTCAGCAATATTCCAGCTACATGACGGTCTGTAAACAATTGAGTCTGGACTGACATCATGAGCATTGACCTACGCAATTGGGATACAATGACATGCATTAACTAAGTCAGCGAGACTGACCACCCGATCCCGTTATTCGCCTCTTACGACAAGCACAGTCGCCATTTACGGCAAGGATGGGTTGCTGAAGACCTATTCTATCCCGGATCTTCATGGGCCGTCTGTGACAAGAATTATACATGTCTATCACCAGCTGATAACTGCATTCCTTGTTAATGCCTGGTTTGCATATTCATAACATCATAGCATTCCCACTTTCAGCCAGTGTTTGAAATCATTTTAATTAAGTGTTGCCTGCCTATCTTTAAAGTTACCTGCACACATTCAGACATAATAAAGATTTACAAAATCGGGTCATGATGCAGTTGCAACAAGTATTTGTCACAAAGTGAAGAAATGTCCCCCGCCTGTATATACACCATAGTACCAAATATGAAGACAATCCAGCGATTAGTTCTTGAGATATTGCAGCAACACCGTTTTCCAACTTCAAAAGCAGATTTGCCTGCTGTGACCTTGAAAATGGGGTCAAGGTCACCAAAGCCGACTGGTGTCTGCGGTGTCTGTATATACACCATAGTTCCAAATATGAAGACAATCCAGCGATTAGTTCTTGAGATATCGCGGCAACACCGTTTTCCAACTCCAAAAGCAGATTTGCCTGCTGTGACCTTGAAAATGGGGTCAAGGTCACCAAAGCCGACTGGTGTCTGCGGTGTCTGTATATACACCATAGTTCCAAATATGAAGACAATCCAGCGATTAGTTCTTGAGATATCGCAGCAACACCATTTTCCAACTCCAAAAGCAGATTTGCCTGCTGTGACCTTGAAAATGGGGTCAAGGTCACCAAAACCAACTGGTGTCTGCGGAGTTTGTATATAGACCATAGTTCCAAATATGAAGACAATCCGGCGATTAGTTCTTGAGATATCGCGGCAACACCGTTTTACAACTCCAAAAGCAGATTTGCCTGCTGTGACCTTGAAAATGGGGTCAAGGTCACCAAAACCAACTGGTGTCTGCGGAGTCTGTATATACACCATAGTTCCAAATATGAAGACAATCCGGCGATTAGTTCTTGAGATATCGCGGCAACAAACAGGTGGGACGTACGGACGGAAAATAATGCAAACAATTACAAGAGAATCTGTGAGGAGTTATAATAAAACTGAATACGAAAGTAGTCTTAAAATTTCAAGCAGTCCGATAGAAAAGTAACCAGCCACAGGCAGGCGGGCAGGCAGATATTTAGGACACGCTTTCAGCCAAACAGTGAATTATGAGTCAAAGATCTAAGCCCTCATTAAGACAGTCGAACAGCAGTGAAAATTTCTTTTTGGAAATATAATGTTAATAGGCACTGTTTTTTTTCCAAACTTTTACTGCGGTGAAGTTAATCTGTGGAATATTCCTTCAGTGTTTGTGTGTCTACTATTAGTATTTGTACAGTTCACGGTTCATAATTTCATTTCCTCGAAATAGGACCACCTTATACAGTTAAAGCTGTTCACACTGTTCCAATATCTTTTTCATGGTTCACATCATACATAATAAAACAAAAATTATCTGAAACCGTTTAAAAGTTGAAACATGGAGCCTTGATAGACAACATCAAGTAAGTAAGACTTACAAGTTTAACATTTCTATTGCTGAAGTAAGGAGGTGAAAGGTGAAATGGGGTTTAACGTCGCGTCCAAGATTATTGCACTTATTTAGCGACGTGCATGTACGTTTATGTGTGTGGCTGCTTGTACTAGTCCGGACTAATGCCGATTTATAGTGCTAGCTCACTGAGATACCATG